AACTAGTGCGATATTATATATGTACTAGCTGTTCCCATGCGGCTTCATCCGCAGGAGATTATAAAATCTTTATTTTATCGCTTACATTTGTCAAATTATCAATTACAAATGTCAAAATGACATGACATGACAAAACATGGCAATGTTGCTTCCTTGATGTTGGCAGCAACTTATGATCTCTTTCCCACATTAAGGTTTTTATCCAAAATACTTACGCCCTAATTTTAATGGCGTGAACATATATAGCCTAAAGCGTGACGTAAGTGTAGGGCTTTTTACTAAAAAAAGAATTAGTCAAAAATATGCTGTAATTGCTGACATCTTAGGCAACAAAGAACTGTATGTTTACGCTTTTTTATAATAGTATAGATTAATTTGAGTTTAATATATCGAACGGTACAACTATATAACCTTGTAAATTTTACATCATATCTTCATAATTAAAATTTTATGTAATAACAGTGAAACAACAAAGTGATGACGACATGAGATAATCCAACATGTTAATTAAAATGTCTTAAAACACAATTTTAATTATCGAATCGCATGTAAATTCGTTTGTCACCGCGATATTAAAATTTTTGCGTGATAATTTATTAGGAGGGGCCCGACCCTGTCTGGATTCTCGGAGGGTTTAGACAGACAGTCGTGTCGGCACCCAGAAGTATAACTTCCATTAGTAACCGAATTTGTAAAGAAACAGTTGAATTGCTACTAAATAGTAATGAACATTAACCCTAGGTTCTCACTGTAGAAACGTGTAGGAAAACATGTCATTCTTCTCGTTCTCTTCGAATAAAAGAGATATTAGCCTTGTGCCACACCGACCACGTCCCATGCTAGTCTACTAAGCTCTAACCTGTGACGTCATAACGCCATCAGCAAAACTGTGCACGAGTAATATCAATATGATATTATACACGGGTTTATTCATTGTAAACACACCGTAAGACCCCGACACTCAACAGAAATGAAGCCATTCATTGTAACTGAATCACTCGTTTATAAACGCAATGACATTATCCTTAATGTCCCAATGCATTCGACATTACTTATTGTGATTGTTCGAATTAATCGATCTTGTTCCATAAATCGATTTAAATCGTATCCCGCATAGCGTTTAGATTACTTTTGTGGATAGATTAACCATTCTTTGAGCTCTCCGAGCTATAAAAGTGCTGTTTTTGATATTGAAAATTTGTTCAAAAGACTGGGGGTGATGGAAAAGTATCACTGCCTTTAATTTGATATTATTATTTATTATATCTTACTAAAATTATAAATGCGAAAGTTTAGATGGATGGATAAATGTTGGTTAGAGTTTATAGGCCAAACGGCTTAATGAATATCGATGAAAGTTGGCATAGACGTAGAGGGTAGTCAGAAAGAACACATAGGCTACTCTCTCTTGTTTTCTTTATTTCCATGCGGACGAAGCGGGCGAAAGCTAGTTTTATAATAATTTAAATGGAGAGTATAAATCATAATTGCTAAATCTGACTTAAAAGGATAAAAAACTATAAATTAATACGGGGAATTGTTTTCCTATTTACAGGAATATCCGTTCTGTAAATTATTTATGGTATTTACCGTGTTCCTTAGGTATTCAATAACTATTCCGTTTATATTTCAGTCACTGCACTATAAGACTGATTTACTTCGAGGTAACGGATTTGGCATTTAACGCTCAAACTAAATAAATAAATAAAAAAAAAAAAGTAAGCTATAAGATTTCTAGGACTTTTTATCTTAGGTTGGAAGACAGATCAGGACCCCTTAAATTCCCATAACAACAGTTCGTTCGCTTAGAAATCTACACTAAAAAACTCCCTTAGCTAATTTGCTCTGAAGTTAGTTTGTTAGAAAGATCAAAATCTTATTTTTGCCTATACTCTTAAAGTATACATTTACGTAGGCCAATGGCGACAAGTGAAGCGAGGGCGCGAAGTGCCACTGACGTCCCGCAAGTGATATTTCCGTCCGATAACTTACCGTCCCGACACTCTGGGAACATTATAATGTCATTATTTATATAACGATATAGCCCAGACAACTATGATATTATTTAATTCGCATTAAGTACAATGAACCGGTGGCTTCGCGAACCCAACCATTTGTTTTGCAGACTAACTCAGTGTCGATTTAGGGCGTGCGCACACTAAACTATCGCACAATTGTTTAGTTGTGCAACTAAACAGTTGAATTGGCTGCGAAACAATCGACAATCAAACAGCTTGATAGTTTAGTCAAAGTTGTGCGCCCGCTCTTATAGTCATTTGTGACGCCATAAAATAAAGTCGATAGGTCGCCTGTTATCTAGATATATTTGTACACTAGCTGTTCCCATGCGGATTCTTCCGCATGAAATTATAAAAACTTAATTTTATTGTTTACCTTTGTCAAATTATCAATAGCAAATGTCAAAATGACATGACATGACAAACCTTAGCAATTTTTCTATCTTGATGTTGGCAGCAACTTATGGTCTCTTTCACACATTAGGGTTTTTATCCAAAATATTTCCCCCTAAGTTTAATAGCGTGAAAATATATAGCCTAAAGCGTGACGTAAGTGTAGGGTTTTTTATTAAAAAAAGAATTTAAAAATATATGCTGTAATTGCTGAGATCTTAGGCAACAAAGAAGTGTGTGTTTACGCTTTATTATAATAGTATAGAGTAAAGATTGTTACTTTGAAGTTTTCTCTTTATATACTAAGGTTAGGTTGTTAAGATATTCATATATACAAGTACCATAGATCTTTTTTTTTTAGTGCAGGGGTGTAAAACCTGTACCTATTAAGTACATCGGTTTCTGATGCAACGATAGTATCATTGGAAATAAGTGTCCAGCATTCGAATCCCACGCAACGACTGTTTGTAGGCGTTATACAAATTATAGTCTTCAAGTTTATGATTTATTTCCACATCTTATGAAACATCAAGATTGGATATCGATAGGGAATATTATTTTACATATATTTTATCTAAAAAGACACAATTCTGAACTCTTTTCCAAATATTTATTGGACTTATTCGACACTAAAGTTTGGATTGAATAACATTTTGTCTATTGTTTGCAAACAAAGACTAAAAAATTATAGAAAAATTTAGGACTACCTCTACCAGTTTGCATAAGCGTAGAAGTTTACTTGTAAAATTGTACTCTAATGCAAAATATTTCGTCTGCTTAATAGCCGTGGATTAAAAGTTATGTCGACAAAAACCGAAAATCCCGATTAATCGGTTATAAAAACTATTGTTTATTGCAATCGTATGTTATCGGTTAATTTTACCGAATATCGGTTATTTTGATGTTACATTCTGTGCTAACTACATCAAGGACGTTTTACAAAACATCCCTGACAGTAATGAACACACGATATGAGGTAATCCTATCGGAGCCGCTTAATGGAGATTAAGCGAGGCGTTGTCGGCACCCCGTTGCTACCGATGAATAACTAATTCAGGCACCTACCAGTCTAGACAAACTAGGTCTCTGTTTGGTAGTAAAATAAATATGCACTTTTGTGAGGAAACTAAAATTAAAAGCAATCTACTACTTCCAACCGAAGGTTTTTTTTTATATTTCAATACTAGCTTTTACGTTCGAATCCGTCTGTGTCAAATAAAAAAAACTAAGTAGCCTATGTGTTCTTCCGGCCTATCCACTACATCTATGCCAAATTTCATCAAGATCCGTTCAGCAGTTTAGACTACAAACTAACAAACATCCATCCATCTAAACTTTCGCATTTTTAATATTAGTACGATTATTCTAAATAATTTGAACATAACCCCCTTAAATGTGCATTTTTAACTAACTTCCCAAATGAAGGAGGTTTTCATGTCTCTATTGTTTTGAATACATTTCGTAGAAAGCTTAATATGTTCATAGGAATAAGGTATACAATATAAGGATTGATTGTTCACAATAGTATCAGAAGGTTGCTCTATTTCTATTCACTGGGACACATCGGCCCTAATGAAAACAGCCGGCAGTCGATCGAGCCGAATGGATTCAACGTGAATATTCCCCGGGGCGCCGAGTCGTGATAAACGCCCGTCCGAACACCTAGGGGTACTATTCTGAAATCGATCGATAACTGCACTAATTGCATTGTAAAATTATCACTTACTCTATAATTCGGAAATAAATAAACTTTAAGGCGTCAAGGCGTATATATATATATATATATACTCCTTTTTAACAAAATTAAAATTAGATAATAAAAATGTAAGTAATATTATATAGGGGTTAAGGTTATTTGAAATGACATTGCTCTTTTAAAGGTGATATTGTCTCGCCAACATTATTATCACTACAAATAAAATAAATAGTTTACTGAACTTGAATCGGTGACCTGTTCGACATTCGTCGTATGACTTTAGAATACACCCCGCCAACCCTCTCGAGTTGAACTGTAGCTGACATCAGAGCAGTGGGGGAGGAATCCCGTTTATTGACGATCCGTTTTATCTTATTATGAAGATAAACATATTTTTTTACATCTTTTTATTACATAAGCGATGTTTTTATTCCATTTTGTAAATTGAGACTTGTAATGAAATTTAGGGTTGGGAGATTTCAAATTTATTATTTTATTTATTTAATACTTTTTGTAAAATATTACAATATAGAAAATGTATTTTAAAGTTTATCTTCGTTTGAAATCATCAGCCCTTCGTAGTGCAGTTGGATTATTACCTAACGTCACCCCGCTCTGTCCCTACGTAAAAATAAAAAGTTACATCCATTCCACCTTTTATTCCCACTATCACCAATAAGGGGACAGATAGAACCGTTATGAAATAAAATGAGTTCCAACCGTCACCTCGTTTTAAAGGTGGGACGAATGAAAGTTTTTATTCTCATCTGTCTCCACGTGGGGACATAGCGGGATGACAGTTGGGAATAATCCGTGCAGTTGTCCTGGAAATCATTAGTACATCCTTAATTTATTTCAATTGTGATTTTCAGAGTATTTTTTTTCAATTTCAGGCACGATGGAGGAACGCGAAGCGGACGCGGGCCCCGGCGTGCCCGACATGACCATGATGCCGGAGATCACAGAAGCTGCTATTAACGATAACCTGAGGCGGCGATATGTTCACGACCTCGTATATGTATCCTTTTTTAGTATTTCCCGAAATTCTCGCCCTTTTAGGTCTGATTGACAGAGACTTTATAAGGTTTGGCTGATCCAATTTGTGTACAAAATATGAACCTTCTAAGAACACAGATTTTGGTTGGATATCGAAAATCATGCGATCATCAATGCGAAAACATAAACAAATATTATTAAGTTTTAAAGTGGTGCTAATTAAAGGGCGCCGCCAAAGGATGATCTATTCTAGGTTAGCTACCATTAAATTATACATTTTTTAATTATCTAAAGGGTACAACTGCGCCCCCTGCCGAGGTCCATGTTGGACCATGTTTTGTTAGTTGTTTATTGTTATAGTTTGTTGTTGGTTATGAATGATATTCTGTGACGCAATAATCAGACATATACGGGCTCAATCCTGGTCGCGGTGAATCCATACAAGGAGCTGGGATGTTACACAATGGTGAGTGCAATCTGTTAGTGTTGAATTACCTCTTACCAATCAAGTTACAACTCCAACCAGAAAATAAAAAATGATAATTTTAGATAATAATGCAGTTGATGTTGTCATTTCAATCGAGTGTCACCGTTTTTTCAAACCGTAAAAGTATGGCAATATTTTTCAAGTACATAAATGTAATTTTATTAAAAAATACAATGGTTTGTGGTACTGATAACAATAATGTTTATTTGTTTTCTTTTATATTGTTGTTTAAATGTTTAACAGGAGGATATGCAGAACTACCGTGGCAAAGCGTTCGGAAGCATGCCGCCGCACGTGTTCGCTCTCGCGGAGTCCGCGTATAGCTCGCTACAGGTAACTAACAACTTATAAATACTGCTTTATTGATTAAAATATCTTGCGCAGATACTTTATACCGACTATTTAGATACAATTCACTTATTGTATAAAATTACAAGTAATTTTAGCTGTTCACTTGAAATTTTAGCGACACACGCCTCAGTTTTTAACAGAACAGTTCGACTGTTAATAAAACAAAACTAACTATGACAAATTTTATCACGTAGAACGGAGAAAAGAACCAATCAGTAGTGATATCCGGCGAGAGCGGTGCCGGTAAGACGGAGACCACAAAGCTGATTCTTCAGTACTTATGCGCTGCGGGTGGCCAAGCCACATGGGCAGAGCAGCAGATCCTAGAAGCTAACACCGTACTTGAGGCGTTTGGTTAGTACTTCCTTGCACGTTAACATTACGAAACGTTTCTATACCCAAGATATAAAACATTGTACTTAAATAAATAAATAAAATAAAATACTAGCTTTCGGCCGCGACTTCCGCGTGAAATAAAAGAAAACAAAAGTAATTAGCCTATGTGTTTTCCGGACTACTCTCTCTATATGTATGCCAAATTTTAGCAGTTTAGGCTACAAACTCTAACAGCCATCTATCTAAACTTTCTCATTACATTAATAGAAAATGAAATGTTATTCTTTCCCAGGTAACGCTAAAACGGTCCGTAACGATAACTCGTCTCGTTTCGGGAAGTTCGTGGAGGTGCGTTTGGACCACCGCGGTGGTATCCGCGGCGCTGTGCTACGCGACTTCCTACTAGAACGTGCGCGAATCACCGGCCCTGCTCCCCGCGAGACTAACTACCACGTCTTCTATCAGCTGCTTGAAGGCGCTAAAGTAAGTAGCACTTAGAACCCTAATGGCCTGTCCCACCACTGGATGAATGACGTCACTCAGATAAGATAAAAATCTGATATTTCTATCACATGTTTTACAAGTTGGATGGAGTAAATTAACAAAAAATCTACTAATCTGTTTTGAAAAACAAGCCTATTGTGAACAAATGCCGGATTTATATCTTTAGAAAGGTTCATTTGAAGTCTGTTAATTAAAATAAACAAATGCAAGCTCTAAACGACTTTGTATCTCTTTTGTTTTAAAATAGTCTTGTCAAATATTGAATGTATTAGTTCAAAACAGATATCGTTAAAGCAATAAGTTGGTGGGCGTGAAGGAATAGATTAAGGTTAGTTACCAGCTTCCACGCAACACTTAATTGCTTTTAAATTGCTAGATTGTTACGGGCGCTGTAGAGTTTGACGTCGATTGATAGGTGGGCTTTTATTAAACTTTCGATATATTTCAACTAAGTACTCAGTTGTTTCTTAACAAGTTGTTATTCATTTGTTTTTACTGAACCTATTTAAAAGCTTATACCACAAACATGTTATTTTAACAAGAGTTTTCGCCCGCGACTCTGTCCTCGTTGAATTAAAAAAAAGTAGCTTATGAAAAAACACATTGTTCTTCCAGACTATGCTCGGCATCTATGCTACCGTTTAGGCTACAAACTCTAACAAACATCCATGCATCCACCTAAACTTTCGCATTTATAATATCAGTAAGATGTAACACGGACCATATTTTTACTATGAAACCTATCTTATTAGAATATTTGTTTCTTTCCAGCATAATGCAGAGCTCCGTTCTTCTCTCCGGCTACGTGACGACATCCAATACAAGTATTTACGTATGGATGACGTCGAGGCACATAAGGGGCGCGGGGGGGAGGGCAAGCTGGAGGCGCTGCAGTTAGCGCTCACGGTGCTGCAAGTACCACCGCATATGTGCGAAGGCTTATTCAAAGTTCTGGCTGCTATACTGTGGCTTGGGAACATACAGTTCCAGGTAAGAGAAATCCTAGATTTCCTTCCTTATAGTAATGTTTTATTTTTGTACTATCGTAAAGCGTAACACACTTTTTTGTTATGTACGATGTCAGCGATCACAACATGTTTTTCAATAATCCTTTTTGTAATAAAATATCTACACCTATAGTACACTATAGGCTATATATTTTCGCACTATTAAACACAGGGGCTAAATGATTTAAAAAAAATCTTTATATGGGAAAGGGACAAAAAACTATAAGCCAATAGCAGCAACAAAGCATGATTGACATGCTAATTGTTAGCCAATATGCCTTCGTTGTCATTTAAGCATTTGAATTACATTATAATGCGAAGAAACATGCTTGGAAACAGGTAGTTATTGATAAAATTGTTAGGATGTTGACGGCGAGCGCAGCGCCCTCTGCGGCGAGGACACGGAGGCGGTGGAAGCTGCGGCGTCGCTGCTTGGCTTAGCCCCGCCCACCGCGCGCCGCGTGCTGCTCGAACGACAGATCAACGTGCGCGGCAACGTTACCGATATACCACTAAGACTACCGGAGGTTAGTCACCCTTGTCTGTATTCTCTAGTCTCAGATCAGAGATAAACACTACACTTGACTTGCGAATTGCATTGCACAGAGTATATATATGCTCATTATGGAGACAACCATTATTTCCCAGTCCTCTAACTTCAGTATGGTCAGCGCATCATCCCGGTTAATATACTTACCGTCATATCAGCATTCACTTCTTTATTCGTGTCGCCTTTCACCCAATCCATCCATCTCTTATGGAGATATTTACGAATGTTTCAATGGGTATATGTACTTATTTTTATTTACACATTTTATAGGCTCGTGAGAACCGTCACGCGATGGCTCGTGCACTATACGCGCGTACGTTCGCATGGCTCGTCCGTCACGTGAACAGCTGTTCGGCGCCGGGCCGCGAGATGACGCGCGCTCTCGGCGTACTCGATATCTTCGGCTTCGAGAACTTTGCCACCAACTCTCTAGAACAACTGTGTATTAACTACGCCAATGAAAAACTGCACATGTTCTTTAACAACTACGTCTTCGCTTTGGAACAAGAAATTGTGAGTAATTTGTTTTAAACAAAACACGATCATGAATTTTATTGTTTCAAGTGTCATTTGTTTTGTAAATATATTTTCATACTAAGAGCGGGATGCCTTGGATTAAACTGTCACACAACTGTTGTGCGATTGTCGATTGTTTCACAGCCCATTCAACAGTTTAGTTGCACAACTAAAAATCGAGTAGTGTAACCTCCATCTAAACTTATAAGAATTAAAGCCGGACTAAGCAGTTGTGCGATAGTTTAGTTCCAGGTGTGTAGACTGTCTGAGTTAAAATTTGCATAATTACGTTTTATTTTTTATTTTATTTTTCCAGTATCGCCAAGAAGGTATAATTTACAATCAAATACAATTCACGGACAACGGCGCCTGTCTGGAATTGTTGGAGAAACCGCCTAGAAGTTTATTGAAATTGTTAAGTGAGCAATGCCACATGCCAAAGGTAACTGCCTTTTCTACCCTCCCTTTACATCTCTTTTTCCAGAAGTTAATAGTTTTATTATTTCCAGGGTTCTGATGGCGCATACCTGACAAACATTCAAGGAGAATTCGGCGATCATCAAAGTTTCGTGAAAGGTTCCCGTAGGAAATGGGAGGAGGAGTTCGGAGTGCAGCATTATGCTGGCACGGTCACATACAGCGTCCAAGGATTTGTCGACAAGAACAGGGATACCCAACAAGACGCCTTTATCGACCATCTCAGTCGATCCGCTAACCCTTTTGTAAGGGAACTAGCGGATTATTCTCAGGATTTGGCACCTCCTGGACATGTTAGTTACTTTGGTCCTTTGAGTCGGATATTACTTTCATATTTGTTATAATAATATTAATTAATATAATTTCAGGAGATATCTCTTTCAAGTCCTGGTACGACTAGTACTACACAACGAGGCACGTCTAAAGGCAGGCCGACAGTTGTGGACACATTTCGCGCACAACTGCAATCTCTGGTGGATATGCTGCAAGTTACTGATGTTTGGTAAGATATTTAATAGACAAACATATTATTTTTATATGTAGTTTAAACGGCTGCAATGGAGATTGTATCGAAACGATCTTGAACACTTCGCTTTACCGCATACTTCTGACTTGTCTGATAGTGAATTTTGGAGATAAAATTGTTTACACATTTGAATGTCGTTTCAATATTAGCCTTAAGAGTAGTAATTGATCAGAATGAGTTATAAGTGCCAAAATTCCATTATGGTCTAAAATAATGAGATAGTAACGACCGATTAACAAAGCGCTTAAGCGTTTAAACTCTAATTTCCTTTCAATATTAGACTATCAGATTGTAAACGTCGCTTACGTAGCAAAATATTTAAGATTCGTTTCAGTATTTTTCCCATTATAATATGTTATAAATTTTCATGCTTAATGAATATGAATGTTGTTCTGTCAGGTATGTCCGCTGTATAAAGCCCAACGAGCACAAGGAAGCGGGCACGTACAACGCGCAGCTAGTGCTGGAGCAGCTGCGCTACCTCGGTATGAACGAGATAGTGCGCATCCGCCGCGACGGCTACCCCGTGCACCTCCCCGCGCCGCTGTTCCGCGCGCGCTACCGCTGCCTGCTACCGCACCCTCGCCCTATGGAGCCAGATATCGCGTTAGTACTATATTATAATTGTAATCACTTTAATACTAAGTCCAACGATCACCGCTAGATGGCGCAATTATCATTAATGTCCGGTTTATATTTGGCCAGTATAGTTGGATATTTGCAGCTAGCCATATTATGGAGTCACTAGTGCCAGTTATCGTTCACAGTCCACAGTGATCTGTCCAGTTATTAAGCGGTATTGACCTGTACTGGCCTAGTGTGAACCGCGCATAATACTTGTATGACATTGACAGCTGTCATAGGGATGGGACGTGTACGTCAATGATCTAGTGATGCGCCACTACACCGGCATAGTATCGATTTTTTTATTAACACTTTATAAATGTAGACATACACATAACTATGCTTTGTTATTAGATTAAAAGAACAGATATCAGTCTACCTTTTATTGCTCTATCTTTTTTTGTATCATCTATCCCAAAATAGTGGTATAATCAACTGTTTTAGCAATTTCTTCCAATGTGCTTTGTGGAGTTACAAACTTAATTTTTTTGAGTAAAATTTCATTCGTTTCTGATACAAGCATATTTAAACAAACTATGATCTTATTTGTAATTAGAGCTGTGAAACTGGATACTTCATATTACACTTTGCCAAATGCTAACAAAAAAAACATATCTTTCCAGAACAATAACGTCATTAGTGAACGCGCCGGCCAACGACTGGCAGATAGGACACACAAAGATATTTATGCGTAGCTCCGTGCACTCCCCGCTAGAGGCTAAGAGGACTGCACTATTACAGGCCTCCGCGCTACGCATACAAAAGGTTACTTACGAAACTTCATACAATTAGTTTTTTTTTTTGTCTTTTTTGATGATTTAATCTTCATAATTGAAATAATAGTTCAGTTTAGTTTGTTAAGGAGTATCGCTCTCAGTTGATATTTAAAATATTTATAACTTGAAACATTCTTAAATTAAGATAATGTGATATGGATACCTAATTTTAGTCCGTTTCCTTTCTCACCTTTTCCTTATTAAGAAAATATATGACGTTGAAGACGCATAAGAAGAAACATCATACTAATATTATAAATGCAAAAGTTTAGATCGATGGATGTTTGTTAGAGTTTGTAACCTAAACGGCTGAACAGATTTCGTTGAAATTTTGCATAGACTTAGAGGATCGTCTGGAAGGACACATAGGCTAATTTTTTTTATTCCACACGGACGGATTCGCGGGTAAAGCTAGTACTTTTTATTGAAAGCCTGAACCTTAACGCTTTATTTCCAGTGGTACAAGGGTAGTGTACAGCGACGCAGCTTCATGCAGCGTCGCAACGCTGCAGTGGTGCTGCAGGCGGCGTGGCGCGGCTGGAAGGAGCGCGCGGCGTTCCTGCGCCTGCGCCGCGCCGCCCTCACGCTGCAGCGACATCTACGTGGAGCCTTCGCGAGAGAGGTCGCCGCCGCGCTGCGAGAGATGCGACGGGTTAATGATGAAATGAAACTAAGAGAAGAACGAAATAGGTTAGCAATCTCTCAATTAAACTGTTTTTCGTGACATCTTAAATGGTAATATTAATTGTCCGGAATCAAACGTGAGTTGAGTCTTTTAGTCGTTTAACTCTTTCTCTCTGACTCTTTTACTTTTGTGTGAATTAGTACTTTGTGTAGGCCAAGCTGGCTTCCAAAAAGCTGGGTGTGCTCAGTAGGGCGAAGCAGTATTTCCAGCCGGGCCACCGCCTACTACTTTACAAGGCGCAAGTTCGGCCCCACATGGAGTACTGCTCGCACCTCTGGGCGGGAGCACCCCAATACCAGCTTCTTCCATTTGACCGCATACAACGGAGAGCGACTCGAATCGTCAACGACCGAGCTCTTACCGATCGGCTAGATCCTCTGGCCTTGCGGAGGGACATCAGTTCCCTCTGCATCTTTTACCGCATTTACCACGGGGAGTGTTCCGAGGAGTTGTTTGGAACGATTCCTGCCGCCGAGTTTCGTCATCGGACGACACGACAAACCGCCAGGTACCATCCTCACCATCTCGATGGCTGGCATTCCACAACCGTGCGGTTTTCGCGGAACTTTCTGCCCCGCACAGCCGCGTTGTGGAACGGTCTGTCCTCGGCGGTATTTCCAAACCAATACGACTTAGGGTCCTTCAAGAAGCGAGCTTAGCATTTCCTCAAAGGCCGGCAACGCATCTGTTCCTCTGGTGTTGCGGATGTCCATGGGCGTCGTTGACCACCTTGGTGTACACGCCGCTCGTTTGCCCCCTTTTAATATAAAAAAAAAATATATCTTATTTCCAATCTCAATTTCATGACTCACATGACATCACACTAGAGCTGGGCTAAATCCCACGAAATCGTCAAAGCGGGTGTAAAAAAAACTTAGAAAGCAGCCTCAAATGCTTTCAGATAATGTTTTACATGTGTTTTAAAAGTTAATTGAGATGCGTTGAGTTGTTTGGTCATAAAAACATCCATCCATCTATCTAAACCTTCGCAATTATTAATTGTGAGATTATTTGTTCGATTTCTAATAAAAATTTCACATTTGAAGCAAAAAGAAGTGTGATTGAAACATTTTGTGAATTCAACTTATAAATTGAAATCTTTCCACCAGTCTGGCAGAGAAAGTGAACATGGAGCGTGCGGAGCTGGAGACGATGGCTGACCAGCTCCGTGGGCTGTCGTGTCCCAGCGGGCGCGCGGAGTCCGTCAACCTGGACAACCTGTTCGACTTCCTGGCGGACGTGCCCGCGCAGCGCGGCGCGCCCGACGGACAGCCCGCGCACCAGCCCACCATCGCTGAGATAGGAGACTCCATGGAACGACTGGCTGATGATTTACATCAAGAGGTAACCGATTTTGAACGTTATTGTAACAGCAATACGATTCAACATCATCACCAGCTATACGTCTTCACGAAAAGGTTCAGGAGCCTACCCTAAGAAAAGGATGACTAAGCCATAGTCAACCACGCTGACCCACTGCGGATTGGTTCACTTCACACGTATCTTTTACAAACATGTGCAGGTTGCATCACAGTGTTTTCCTTCACCGTAAGAACGTGGGGTAAATTATGCATAAAATTTGAAAATCAAAACTCCCATTGGTACATGGCGAGATTCGAACCCAAGACCTGTAGAATACAAGTCTAGCGCCTAAACCCCTGAGCCACCGAGACTCTTATAAGATACATGTCTTTGGAGAATTTGTGTAAAGAGTTTTTTTTACAGCTGGAACACGTCCTAGCGGCTGAAATGAATGAACTCAGCAAATCGCACACAGAAGCACAGAGGAAACCTGATGGGGCACCCTCAGATGACATCCTGCCTCCGCCACCTTCCTCTCTCGCCTTACAATCCATCCTGCAACCGGCGACACCTGTGAGCATGACGTCATCTCTAACTAACGGTATGACGTCATCGTTGACGAACGGTACCTCACCGATGGCGAACGGCGATGTGATGTCGTCATCGCTTATCCTTCCACCTCCCCCTCCTCCTATGGAGCCGGTGGAAGATTCCCCCGCGTTCCCCTCTCCGCCTACTACCTGTACATTGCCGGAACCAGCGGGCCCGCCACCACCTCCACCTGCCGGCAAAGGTAAGATAAGATTTTGGTATATTTTTGGCTTTAAATACAGTTTACCTACATGTAGTAAAATTAATATTTATTTTCTATTTTCTCAGATACCACCCCACCGGAGTTGACCAATGGTATAATACCAAACGGCAAGCTCTCTGTAGTAAATGGAAAGGAGCCGATATACGAAGCCGTCATTCCGCGCCCTCCTGGCGAAGCCCCTACTACTTCACCACCCCCACCACCGTTATTGCCACCAGAAAACAACGGGTAAGAACATAAATTTTATCTTACTAATATCATCAATGTGAATGTTTAAATGGATGGACGTTTGTTAGAGTTTGTAGCCTGAACTACTTACTGGATCTCGATGAAACTTGAAAAAAAGAAGAGAGAAGAACATAGGCTACTTACTTTTGTTTTTTAATACCGTGCAGATAAAGTCGCGGGCGAAAGCTAGTAGGATTATATTTAAATTAACTTTGTCTTTTTAAAATATATACATGTTAACATTTGTTCTAGTTTTCCTAGCAAAGAGATTCTACAAGAGCAGATAGACGATACTCTACCGGGACTGCCGAGTGCGGTGACGTCACCGGACAATACCTCCGCCTCCGCCCTGCCCACTGATTCCTGCACCAGCCCCCCGCCCCTGATGAATGGAGACTCCAATGTAAGTCTATTGAATGAATGAATAAATGAAATAGCCTTTTATTCAAAATAGCTTACATAGGTGGGATCGTGGTCAAGCGCTGATTTAAAAAAAAAATCATAAAAAAGTACGTATGAACTAGGTATACAGAGTTACACTTTTTATTTTCTTCACAACTATCTGTTTACCAGTCGGCAAAGAATATTTTTATATTATATTTCTTGTTAATTTAGTTTCTTCTCTATTTCTGAATATTCTATGTATAGTATATATTTTCTTATACTGATGGAGGGATCGTAAGTGTATTAGTACAGTTTATATCGAAACTTCTAGAATATAAATTAATTACGATTTACGTTTAATGTTTTCAGACAACGGAACGTAACGCGCGTCGCAAAGAGCGCGTGGAGCGACGCTTGCATCAGATGGAGGCGGCGTCCCCGCCCTCTAGCGCTCCGCCCACCACGCCGCCCGCTGACGTCAACGACCTCGCTGACTTCGCTAAACTATACTTCAACGATCATCCACGCTCACCCGAAGGTGCGTACAATTTTTATTTTGACTAAACTATCGCACGACTGTTGTGCGATTATCGATTTTTTCGCAACTCCTATTTAGTTGCAATAAAAATCGAATAATGTGCGCACTTCCATAATACTTATAACAAATAAAGCGAGACTAAACAGTTATGCAAGTTAAGTCAAAGGTGTGTTCGCTCTAATAGTAACTTCAAAAAGATTAGTAACAATTATTATCACTTTCGTAAGAATATTATTAAAAATTGCAACATTTTACAGGAACAATAATGGCAACCCTGACGCGGAAAAGCAAATCAATGGAATTGCTAACAAAGGAGGAGATGATCACTTACCATAAAGGCAACAATATCCCCACCTCCCACATACAACTGCATGACCCTGACAGCGTTACTGCAGCAGTTAACATCTTCAGGGTAAATTCTTACATAATTATAATAGAATCTTATTAATCCATACTAATATTATAAAGAGGAAAGATTTGTATTTTTGTATGTATTGAAATAACTCAAAAACTACTGGGTCCATTTAAAAAAATTTTTCACCATTAAAAAGCTACGTTATCAGTGAGTAACATAGAGATTTTTTTTTTATATTTTAATTTCACGCGGGCGAAGTCGCGAGCAACAGCTAGATACTAGTATTATAAAAGTGACAGTTTAGATGGATGGTTTATTAGAGTTTGTAGCCTAAAGAGGTGAACAGCTCTAGAGGAAATTTGGCATAGACGTAGAGAATAGTCTGGAAGAACACATAGGCTCACTTTTATTTTTTTCATAAATTACACGCAGACGGAGCCGCGGGTGAAAGCCAGTTATTTATCATCATTATAATCTTTGAAATTTCTCATTTCTAGTATATCTAAAAATATATTTTACAGGACTTATGTCGTTACATGCGAGGCGAATTAACATCGGACAAGGAGACTCAAGTCATACAATCTGTGATAGGCAAAGGTTTAGAACGGGAAGAGTTACGGGACGAAATACTTATCCAATGTGTGCGACAGGTAAGATCTATTATGGTTTGTCTGTATAAATTAGATAAGTTTGATAAATGACGCATATGAAGTATCAAATTCAATTTGTATGACGGCAAATGCCGTACTTAATAGACAGGTATCGTAGTGACGACACAAACACGCAGCGAACAATTATGAACTATCGATATTCGGTTTAAATAATTATTGAACTCAAATTATTATTTTCTTATTAACTAATTTAGAGATCAATTCTATTATTAATTATAGTGTAGAGAATTTAGCGATGACATAAATAATAGCGAAATCCATTACGTACGGCTGTAATAGTAATAATAAACATTTACTCTCATTGTTATTATTAATTTGAGAAAACAGTGTTTTTTTTTTTTCAATTCATAAGTTATGACTATGAATCTATCGATTCTAACTTCTATAAGAATAAAAATAAAAAATCGATAAGATTCATGACTGAATTTACACAACCATCCCTACTAAATTTGAAGTGAATTGTCAACCTAATCTAAATTATTTAGACACACTATATGTAGTATACGAGAATGTTGTTTTTATTGCATAAGATAGCAAACGAGCAAGCCACCTAAATCCGCCAAAAAGACGAAGGCCTTGACATTGGATAACAATCACCGTTACCATGGCAACCTAGTTCCTTTGATGCTCTAAGCTTGTAGTTTTTGTTCCTTTTCCCAGGACGAGTTTTTCTCAAATGATTTGATCCCTAAGTTTAATGACGTGTAATTTAAAATGTATTGAAATTACTCAAAAAATACTAAGCAAGTTTTAACTTCTTTTACCGTTAGAAAAGTAATTTATTTGTGAGTAGCTATATTTTTTATTATTTTTAAATTCAACTTGGACTAAGACGAAAGCAACATCTAGTATTAAGTATAGAGTATAGATATAAGAAAATTAGAAAGGGGAGGAGACTAGATTCAAGCCTGACAACGCAAAACGATGGCTTCTTCCGTTTACCTAACCAAAATTTACCCAACCAGTTAGGTTACAATTGTTTTTCTGTTTTCATAACCAGTCAAGTTTTTGTGCTGATGTGTTTTGAAAACGGAAAAAAATCTTAAATATGTGCAATGTAACAAGATGTAGAAACAAAAAATCTAGGCATGATTAATTAATATAAAGCAAGCAAATTTGGTTACGAAAACGGTACTCTTTGATTAGTACAATTTTTTTCTTTAATAGATAACAGAGTGTCCAGTAGAGGAATGGGCGGAGCGTGTCTGGCTGGTATTATGCCTGTGCGCGGTGGCGTGGCAGCCGAGCCGCGGCCTCGCGCGGTACTACTGCGCCTGGCTGCGCACGCGCGCCCGCGCCGCGCCCGACGCGCCCCGCGCGGCACACTGCGCACAATGGTGCCTTGATAACTGTAGAGGTGCTGCGCCGAGGTTACTACCGCCGAGTACTGTTGAAATCGCTGTAAGTACGAATAATTTTAAACTATCTGTCCCCATGCGACTTCATCCGCACAAAATTATGAAAATTTTATTTTATCGTCAAATTGTCACTTACAAATGACAAAATTGTATGACATGACGACAACCTTGCTTCCTTGATGTTGGCAGCAATTAATGGTCTCTTTCCCACATTAGGGTTTTTATCCATTCATTAAATCTAAACATTTAGCCCCTAAGTTTAATGGCGTTAAAATATATAGCCTAAAGTGGGACGTAAGTGTAGGACTTTTTATTAAAAAAAAGAGTTATTCAAAAATATGCTGTAATTGCTGACATCTTAGGCAACAAAGAAGTGTGTGTTTACGCTTTATTATAATAGTATAGATAAGGGTATAGAAAGAACTAGAGGGTGTAAAATCTTTTCGAATTAATTTCAAATCTTACTAATAAGGTTATATTAGTTTTTAAAAACTAGCTTACACCCGCCACTAGGTTTGCGTGGAGTTAGACAAAATCAAAAGTAAGTAGCCTATGTGTATTTCCAGACTATCCTTTACATCTAAGCCAAATTTCATCTAGATCCGTTCAGCCGTTTAGGCTACAAACTCTAACAAACATCCATCTATCTAAACAACCGCATTTATAATGGATCTCTATTAAATTTGGCATAGATGTAGAGGATAGTCTGGAAGAACACATAAGCTACCTTGTTTTGTTTTATTTTATTCCAAGCGATCGGTGTCGCGGGCGAAAGTTAGTAACTGCATAATATAGACATGTTATAGTGATTAAAAAGTAATAACTTTCTTTACCAAAGTGTTTAAATTTTTCTAGGTTATATTATTTCAAAATAAGTATACTTTACGAGTTGTTTTAACACAGGCGATGCGTCGTCTCGGCACAATAGTATGCCGGTTCTTCTTCCTGGACGGTCGTACGAAGGCTATCGACGTGCACCCCGCGGACACTGCGGCGGCGGCTGCAGCGCGCCTCGCAGACAAGCTGGGCCTCGCGCCGCACTCGCGTGCAGGCTGGGCTGTGTACCAGCAGCGGGCAGCGAGAGAAGACCACGTGCGAGCCACGCACTACCTGTATGACGTCATCGCTGCATGGGAAATGTAAGCTATACGTACTATTTAACAGTGGTGCCTGTTTTAACATCTTCGCAACTAATTTCCACTTCCACACACACAGAAGACAGGTGTGAAGTGGAAGCAATTCCGCGTACATTCTGATGAGTATGGTATAGGAGGCTTCATTTTGGTGAAAACGGAAAGGGACTACCATTTCTGTATTCACCATTTTCTTATACGGAAAGTATGGGAAAGGAAAGTGCTTTGACAGTGGAGTAGACGTGTAGGAAGGGGAAATATCATCTTTATGTGCGTCACTCACACTCCGTTTATTAAGGATAGGCAACGCATCGGCAAATGCGGATTATATGGGAGGCGGTCCCTCTCTCGTTTGCCACCTTAAACAAAATAAATATAAAAAATATACATGTCCAGCAAAATGCTTCAAGTATGGCTATTTACTGTTTTATTTATTTTAAACTGTTGTCTTGTGACAGGCAACAAGGCCCCGGTGGTGGTTCAGCGGACAACCGATTCGTGTTCAAACGGCGCCTGTTTCGCGGCGGACGCGAGTTACCTCACGATCCCGTCGAGGTGGCGCTATTGTACGCACAGGCTGTGCATAGTGTCGTTAAGGTATATTATTTTATACGTATAACACTAAATGTTATATGAATGTACTTCCTTAATGTCCTTTGAGCCGGATATTTTTTTATCTAAACCGTTAAGAAGAAATTTGGCGCAACACTAGATCATTGGCATATACGTCCCGTCCCTATCTGACAGCTGTCAATGTCATTTAGAGGAGAGGAATAACCGCGCCATTCTGCCGGGAGTTGGGGTCTGATTGTTTAGTGTTTAATCTAATTAAAAATACCATATTAATGATCAGGACAGATTTGTATTTTTGTATGTATTGAAATAACTCAAAAACTGGGATGATTTCAAAAATTCTTCCACCAATAAAAAGCTACGTTATCATTGAGTAACATAGAATACGTTTTTTTTTTTAATTTCACGCGGGCGAAGTGATCAACAGGTTTTATTGTAAATTGATTAAAATTGATTGTAGATGGACGAGTTCCCAGTGTCGGAGAAGGTGGCGCTGCAGCTGGCGGGGCTGCAGGCGCAGGTGTCGCTGGGCGAGCCGCCGCCGAGCCCCGCGCCGCCGCACACGCGCGCCTACTACGCTCACCCGGAGCAGTTCCTGCCGCAGCGCATCGCACGCGCAAGGCCTGCACATCAGTGGGTCAGTTATATTCTCACTAGTAACAACATTTTAGGGCTGTGAATTAATATGTCGAGGTGTATATTAGCCGCAGGGTGAAAGTTAACCGATGACCCCCACCCCTTAACACCGACTTCCCATACTTCTCTACAGAACGCGTGACGTCATAAGGCTATTGGCAAAGATTACGCGCATGTATAAAAAATGCATACACAAAAAAAAACCTACTATTTTCTCAAAGGCCGGCAACACGTCTATGGTTCCTCTGGTGTTGCGGATGTCCATGGGGGTCGTTGATCACCTCGGTATTTCCACCGCTTGTTTGCTTCCTTTTATTATAAGAAAATGTATTTTCGGTTTTAAAAACTACAGTGTTAATGTATTAAGTATTAATTTTGTTTATTTAGGCAACAATCCTGGCGCAAGCGCACCGTCAGTACGGCGCGGGGCGCGCGGAGCTGACCGCCAAGGCGCTGTACCTCTCCTGTGTGATGCAATACCCGCTCTATGGCGTCACGCTCTTCCCTGTCACTTACAAGGGATATTGGGCACACGGTGAATACTTTAAAATTTTACTCTGCTAAAACTAAACTATTTCCATTGTACATATAACTTGTAATTTCTTCTTAGTAACAGTTCTGAGTTAAAAAGTTTGTAATAAAATTTTAATGTAAACTCTCTAAAGCATTTTTAACTTTTGGATTCCTACTTACATTAACTTTACCACATCTTCCTCTAATTCTATCTCTCCCTTACACTATCTCTCTCTCTCTATCTCTCTCTCTCTCTCTCTCTCACTGTCTTTCTAGCTTCTCCACACTTTCACTCTCTCACACTCTCAGAGTCCCTCACACTTTCTCTTTCTACCTCACACTTTCATCCTTCCTCTTTTTCTCTTTGTACTTTAAATCATGTAATATATGTACATATGTATGTGTAGGCCCGAACGTACTACTGGGCGTGGGCGCGGAGGGCGTGGTGCTCGTCCGGCCGGCAGACAAGGCGGTGCTGGCGGAGTACCCCTACACCAACATCGCCGCGCTGCTGCTGGACCCCGTCGACAGCGGCCTCACCATCAGCCTCACGCACCACGGGCAGCATGATGGGCTCAGGTATACATTCTGCCATCTTATATCTTATGTCATCTAGGTGCGTGGCAATACCTTTACTGAGGCGAATACGCCTTAACTAGCGTCAAAGGAGTTCTTAGATACTTTTTTGGTGCAAAATAACTGTATTTTTCCAATAAACTAACAAAATAAATATGAACTTGTCAAATGTGATATGTTTTATTTGCATTACTAGATTTTAAGATGTGTAATATAAACGTTTTTGGCATACTTCGTTCCGTTTCATTATATCGTCCCTTTCCTTACCTAGTCTAATGCATTTCGTTTGTCCATTTTCTTTTGTTATTTAAAAAACATTTGAATGCTACCTAAATAACCACTCAAAGCTGATATAATTTTCGTTAAACCATAAAAATAGACAAAAACCTCTCATTTTTTTTGCACTTTTACATAAAGTTATATTAAATCCAGATGCATAGTCCTGGAGTCACCACAGAAGCAGGAAGCTGCGTGGCTAATGGCGGCATACAGCCCGCCTTTAGCCAACGGTCTGGCGGAGGAGCCCGCGAGACGTGCGGCGCCGGCGGGCGAGCGCGCACGACTGGCGGCCGCGCTGCGTAGCGCACGTCGCGCGCTCGTCGACTCCGGCCTACTGCGGCGACCTACTGACCTCTCCGCTGGAGGATTCCTTAGAAATACACTACGAAGGTATATAGTATACTTTGACTAAACTATTTGCACAGCTGTTGTGTGATTGTCGATTGTTTCAATAGTTTGTTGTCAACTGTAAAGTTTATTTTTCATTCTATGCGTTAAAAATAAAGAAGAAAGAAGCTATAAAACAGATTTTATCTCATGCTCAGTTATGACAGTTTTAATTGAAAATTAAATAGTTTAAACTGTGCGTGTGTAACCGAAATTTTAACTGTTCAGTTTAAGTTTTGCCTATAAACGCTTAATTTTTTAAGTTAGTTAGTTTAGTTAAGTTAAAGTTAGTTTAGTTAAGTCAAAACAGTCTGATCTAAGCATCTGTTGAAAGCTTTATTTTGACATAGATTAGAATTTAAAGAGTCATTAGATAAAATTTTGAGATAATATTTACGGACTGTAAAAAACTGTGAGTTATTTATCCTCCCTCGTTGCCACTATTAGATAGGGGTGTAAATAAAATCTCTGTATAGATGCGAATGATTTATTGACCGCAGGCAGTTTAAAGTGCGAGTTACAATATTCGGTTGCGACTAAATAACAATAACAGTCCCTACATGTAACATTTTATAATAATGCATTACATTTGTGTAGACTGAGCAAGCACCGCCTGGAGCGCGTGCGGCTGGACGTGGCGGAGGCGCAGGGGGAGAGCTACAAGGGTTTCCCCTCCGGCTACTGGTGCTGGGCGCGCGCGTTACCACACAGCCTCACTAAACTCAACGAGGCTGAGGAAGTCGCCGCCACGCAGATATTCAAGGTTCAAATACATATCTCTATCTCTTTCACACACACGTAAACGATACATTCTCTTACCTATCTCAAATTCATTGGTTTTTACATGCATCTATTGAAATAATTATAGAAAGCGAGCTGCGGCCCGCAAACTTCGTTAGCGCGGAGTTAAAAATACCAGTCGTCTATAACATTCTCGCGTGCATACTTTCTAGTCAAAATCGGCCAAAACGTTCTGGAGATTACTTGGAATCGGATCGCCCTACTTACTTACAGACAGATAAATAGACAATAATAAAATTAAATGCGATTTTCGATTCGAGTTTCAATACATTTTTTTCGATGTTAAAATACAGACACTGCCATTATAAATTCTAATTCTAAAAGCAGTATTAATACCATCATCATTATCATCATCATTGTCAGCCATAGGTCGTCCACTGCTGAAAATAGGCCTCCCCCAATAATTGCCAAAATACCCGGTCCTGTGCCGCCCGCATCCAGTGCACTCACGCAATCTTGACCAGGGTATGACACTGGTCAAGGTATTAGTACCAAAGCAAAAAAATTGACAACTTTTCATACAATTATATTTAGAATTTTAACTAAGATTCAACCACTGCACGTATATTAACATGTTATGTTGGCAATGCCATATAAATAAATACAATTCTTGTCAAATTAGTACTATATCTATAGGATATAATGAGTCATGCGGGTCTGAACACGCACGAGGGCAGCACGACATCGCTGGCCAGCACCACCAACAGCAGCAGCAGCGGCTCTGCTGAAGGTGACAGCGACGACCGCGTCGCCCTCGCACAGGCGCTGCTGCAGCGCTGTCTGCAGAAGGACACGCTGCTCTGCGAACTGTACATGCAGCTTATCAAACAGGTATACTTAAACCCCTGTTCCACTAAGCATGTAACATTTTAGACCGACTACTGCCTTGGAACTTAATTTCATTTCCAAAACATTACAATATAGTTACATAACACATTCCCGCCAAATAATTTACGTGGTTTGTAGGCGTGGCACCTTTTACACTTATAAACAGAAATACATGCAAAAATACAATGAAACTAACAAAAATATTGTATGCTAATGGTAGTATCGCGCCTTATTGATTATTAGAAAGGTCTAAAAATAGCAAGAAAACATTCTCTACTAATTACACACACGACTTTGTCCGCGCGAAATTAAAAAGACACACATCAAGTAGTATGTGTCCTTCCAGAGCGTAATCCGCTGAGTCGTGTTTGAGACACACAGTAAACATGATTAATTCAAACTTTCACATTAGTCTGTACTAATATTATAAACTTACAGACTAACAAACTAATTTTACTTTTATTTTACTTAGTTTATTCATAAGTTTAACTTTATACCGGTTGTAAACATTTGTAATTTTGCATGTATTGAAATAATTCAAAAACTACAGGGTCGGTTTTCGAATGCTTACACCATTAAAAGTTTTTTTATTTATGAATTACAATTCGAAGTTGCGAGCAAAAACTAAATATAATTGATTTTTTTTTTATTACGATGTATCAGACGACAGACCACCCGGAGCCATCATCGCGTGTGTCCGCACGTCACTGGGCGCTGCTGTGCGCGGCGGTGGGCGCGGCGCTGCCCCCCGCCAAGCCGCTGCGCCGCCTGCTCCTCGCGCACCTGCGCTACCGCGGCACCGCGCTGCACGCCGGCGAGGAGGGCAAGTTCGCACGCCGGGCGGAACAGGTACGCACACTGTACTCCGTACCCAGGCTTATACAGAAACATTTATATAGGTGTATGACCAGCAATCGCCAAGGAATAAGAAACAAATGTGAGTCTGTGGTGGCTTCTCCGATTGAAAGTCATTGTAAGTCTATGAAGGATTCTCCGATTGAAAATCATTGTGAATCTGTGGTAGCTTCTCCAGTTATAAATTTATGTGAGTCTATGATAGCTTCTCCGGTTAAAAATCATTGTGAGTCTATGTTAGCTTCTCCGATTAAAAATCATTATGCGTCTATGGTAGCTTCTCCGATTAAAAATCATTGTGAATCTGTGACAGCTTCTCCAGTTAAAATTAATTGTGAGGCTATGGAAGCTTCTCCGGTTAAAATCCATTGCATGTCTGTCATAGCTTCTCCGATAAAAAGTCATTGTACGTTTATGGTAGCTTCTCCGGTTAAAAATCATTGCGAGCCTATGGCAGCTTCTAGATACGATAACTCAAAGAGTAAAGACATTTTAAAATCGACTCATAACATAAACGGTCTACCCACTAGATTTTGTAGTCAGGATTCTGTTGAAGGTAAAATTATGGTGCGAAAGAAGACTCAGCAATTTATTGAAGAAGTTTTTATTTAAATAAAAAAAAAATAACATATTTTGTAAGATATGCATAAAAAAATAGTAAACGACTTATGAAAAGACTGAAAGGTCCTATCCAAAGGGGAACCATCTTATTGCCAAATTATCCAATTATAATTAAATAATATAGGCTCTGATTATAATGCAATATGCTGCTTAAATTGTGTTTGATGTTACATGCTTCCGTACTTACCGCTTTTGTTTGTTTTATACATTTGTTTTGCTTTTATCAATAAAAAATATTTTGTTACAAAAATTACGAAGTTTTATTTTTATATCGTATCCACCAAAAGTAAATATAAATAATTTAAACACTAAAATGAAATAGACCGACTGTTTACTGAGTTTTTCTTCGCTGTTGCTTTTCTGTGGTGTATTGTAAAAAGTAAAGAATAGCTACGGGCATACAAGTTGCTCCCCCTCGAAACCTCCCTCGAGGGAGGTGCTACGATTCTTGACAGTGTAACGTATTGTTCCATTTTACTGGCATGTGTATTCCTACCCTAAAAGGAGAATCAAAAATCATTGGCACAATAATGCTCATATATTTTTACAAGTCAGTACAAAAACCCACTCAACAGAGACTTGATAAGAGAAGGTCCTGCCTCCTGAAACACAGTTATATTTAGTTCAGAATACAGACCCACAACAAATATTGTCAAATTGTTTTGTGCAATAAAGGGTTTTTTTTTTATATTCAATAAAAAAAAATCGACTGTTCTCCGGCAGGTGGCGTTAAGCATAGCTCAAGTTGGGCGTCGTAACAGTGCGCCCTCTCGCGAGGAACTGCTGTGCGCGGCCGCGCGAAGACCTATGCATGTACGTGTGCTGCTATTGGACGGGAAACAACACGGCCTCGTGTTCGGGCCAGCCGCCACCGCAGACCATCTTGTTACCATGCTTAGGGAGAAGATCGGACTCAACGATGCGGCTGCTGGTAAGTTACTACGTGTTAAGAAAATCAGTACTGCGTTGGTGATTCGATGCGACTTGAATATTGGCATAAGCGTACTGTCCCTATCTGACAGCTGTCAATGTCATTCAAAAGTATCGGCGCCATACTGGCGGGAGGCAGTGTCCTAAGTATTTTTAATTATGTTGTTACAGTTCTATCCACCTAGTTAAAACTAGGTAGACAAGTACAGTCGTGGAAATTCGAGGTGTTGCCATTTCAGAAAATGTACTTGTTATTTGCATTAGGATAAACTACACCCCTTCTTAAAAGTAGCCATACAGGTAGCAGTGAATTGTGTAAACGGGACGGGATGGGATATTAATACATAACAATTAGCCTCGTACCATTGATCTTTTGATACAGAGACATTAAAAGACTGCATCTTATAGTTGTTTGGATTCATCATCTCATTTCGTACAAAACCTACAAATGACAATAGGTTTTAAGTTGGACGTTAATTTTCCCGACTGTACATCACAGATCAGTTTTACGCTACAATTGTTAAATCATCAAAATATCTAAAACTCTAACTGTAATGCTAAAACTGTGTATAAATGTAATCAATAACGATATAGGTTACGCATTATACGAAGTATGCGCTAATTCAACGCCGGCGGGTACGGGCGAGCGCGCGCTGGCCGGCAGCGAACGTGTCGGTGATGTACTAGCGCGCTGGGAGAAGGCCGGCGCCACCGCCGCCTCCTGCAGGTAACGAACACTTTCGAACAATTACGAACACTTACGAACACTTACGAACACTTACGAACACTAAAGAACACTTACGAACACTTACGAACACTTACGAACACTTACGAACACTTACGAACACTTACGAACACTTACGAACACTTACGAACACTAAAGAACACTTACGAACACTAAAGAACACTTACGAACACTTTAACCATGCACACGGTTACACAAATTAGCGATTTATACAAGACTAGCTGTTGCTTGCGACTTTGTCCGCGAGTAATTAAAATATAACAAAAGCATATAGTTACTTACTCGCTGATAATGTAGCTTTTTAATGGTGAAATATTTTTTTGAAATCGGACCAGTAGTTTTTGAGTTATTTCAATACATATATAAAATGCAAACCTTTTCTCTTTATAATATTAGTATTACGTATAGATTACCTACAACAAACGTTATGTATGTAATGATTTACGATTTTGTTATTAATGTGTTTAAAACTTTTAAGTGAATATCTATTAATTGGGTAATTTACATCACAAACTGAGTATAACTTGCATCACAATGAAAGATAAAACCTATCACGATGCAGGTGTTACAAGTATTAAAACGTGATTTTTGTAAAAATAACTATCTAACAACGATAAATTATTAAGCAAGCTACTCCTATAGTGTTATCTCTGTCTCACATTACGTATGTGACCTTGTGCAATAGAGATGACACTACGTAGCCGAAACTATCAGAACGAATCACTTTCCAAAATATTTCATACTAGCTTTTACACGCGAATCTGTCCGCGTAGAGATTAAATACAAAAGTAAGTATATGTTTACGTATAACGTAAACGTAAAGTATAACGTATTAAGTATAAGTATAACGTTTATGCCAAATTACATGGAAATTCTACAGTTTAGGCTACAAATTTTTACAAACATTCATCTAAATTTTCGCATTTGTAATATTCCCCCTAACTTATAGTGACGTATAGTGAGCTGTGAAGATTATGTATGAAATAAAACGTATTTGTAGGCTGGTGTTCAAGAAGCGTCTGTTCCTCGGCGAGCGGCCGCTGCAGTCGGACTGCGTAGCGGAGATGGAGTTGTTATACTACCAACTGCTGCACGCCATCCGACACGACCGTCTGCCTATTGAAACAGATGAAGCTGTGAGTTCTCTTGTATATTGATCGGAACGGAATTTGTTATAAACAAGTGACTGTGTTTTATTAATTAGCTGGTATATTGTGCCAGTAAGATTTTTATGACGTATTATCGAGCACTCGTTGCACTTATTCCGCGAGTTTGCAGCACTAAAAATGTTAACAACTCTTCAATATTGAAAAAATTCTTATATACTTTGTTTCTTAATCATCATGAACTTGCCCTTGTCCTTCGGAGCGTCGGTAATGTGTGATCTTCCATACATTTCTGTCAGCCGTTATATCTTGACCTTTGACATGTCGAGGGCCAAACTTTAGCCTGCAAATACGTTTTCGGGCCGCAACAGCAAAGGATTTGTTTGCCGCCTGACTGTCACTCCCAGAGTATAAGTACCTAATGTATTTTTTTTAAATGGGTGTTTTCAAAATGTCTCGCAGGCCGGATGTTGTCCACATGTGCATTAAAGTGTGACCTTATTTAGACGTCAAAACTGCAAATAAAATTGGAGTTTAAATGTGGCTTCATTATTTAAAACGCGCATATTTAAATAACATTTCAGTATTCGACTGTTTTTAATTTTTAAAGTTATCTTTATTCTCCTATTTGGAAGTCGATTAAAGTACTGCCAAATAGGAGGATCTGAATGTCTGTTTTGTTTTTGTTCATAACAATCGTGTCGACTTGTTAATTGAACAGTATGCAGTTGTTAAGCGAGGTACTGTCGTGCAGGTGATGGTGGCGGCGTTGCACGCGCAGGTGGCGAGCGGGGAGTGCGCGGGCGAGGGCGGCGAAGAGTGCCTGGCGGCGGCGCGCGCCGTGCTGCCCCCGCGCCCCGCGCCGCTGCCCGCGCCCGCGCTGCGCCTGCACCACCTGGCGCTGCGCGGCACGCCGCCGCACGCCGCCATGCAGCGCGCCCTCACCCTCGCCGCCTCCTGGCCGCTCGCCAGAGCCACCGTCTTCGACGTCATGGTGCCTACACACACTACTATTTACTTACCTCATATTGAGATAATAGTTTTGCTATCGGTATTACTTACTAGCTATTCTCGTGCGGCTTCATTCGCATACTACAAAAACTTTTTTATTAATATTTACATTTGAAAAATTATCATTTAAAAATATCAAAATTCAAATGCTTTAATAAGAACTAAACCCTTTGCTCTTGTTTACCGTTACTATGGCAATCGTATTTTGCTGCTATTGGCTTATATTTTCGTCCTTTTCTCGTATGATTTTTTCCAATTTACTTACCACCTAAATTATATAGTTTGTAAATATATCGCCTATAACGTGTCGTAAATGTAGGGGATTATACTAAAGAGAGAATTATCTAAAAATAAAAGATGTAACTATTTTTTTTTTTTATTGTAGTGTTGTAGTTAATGTTTATAATAGCCACTATACTTTGTCAAGTTAGAAAATCTTTCTATTTGTAGTCTTTAAATCTTTAAAGAAACTCTTTCTCCATAAAATACAAGTATTTTTTCATATATTTGTCAAGCTAATGCTTGACCACGATCCCATCTCAAGAAAGTGATGTTGCAGTCGAAAGATGGTACGCGCTAGTTTAATAAGTAGATGTTTATTTTTCTATTCTTGTATCAGCCTTTTCATTATACTAACACTAAAACCACACTAACATTGAATACAGCAATCGTTCACATCGAACTGGCCGCGCGCGCTGTGGCTGGCGGTGGACGCGCGCGGGCTGACGCTGCTGCGGCGCGGCTCGCGCTCGGCGCTCGTGTCGCACGACCACGACCAGCTGCTGGCGGTGTCGCCCGCGCCGCGCGCGCTGCTCCTCGTCACGCGCGCGGACCGCAAGCACGCCAAGCTCGTACTCTCCACTGATCAGGTAAACACTTTATAGTACAAGGTGACGATATTATAGTGAAATGACCACTGCTCATATATATTTGTATGTACTCTTAACTAATAGGGACGTTCAGAAATAGGACATTTGTACCTACGCGTCCTATCCTCTAAAGTCCACATTCCTTTTCCAACTTTTACGAAAGAGGACGTGGAAAACGCCGATTTATGTATCTTAGTATTTATGTACTTTGGTGTAAAACCAGTGTCTAGAGTCTACTTCTGCACTATAACGTACCACTAAAATAAATACCTTTTTGTTATGTTTATGTATCTAAAAGTTGTACAATCAGAAATTTTAGTAAAAAAAATTAAAGAAATATGCTTTTATGAATATGGTCCTTCGAGTCGGATAACAATGTTTTTGTACCAGGCGTACCAGATCGCGACACTGATCAAGGACTACATCGAGGCGGTGCGCGGGCCGGTGTCGCCGGCGGTGGCGGAGGCGGGCGGCGCGCGCGCCTCGTGACATCCGCACGCATAGTGCCAGTGCTTCCACGTCCGCTGAGCGCGCGAACGTCACACGCCGACATGCCAATCATATTCATTCAAATACCTACGTAAATAGATATTGAAAAAAAAAATCGGATACATACCATCCTAAAGTACACTACACGATTTATTCTATGCTAAAACTGTGTTTTGATGTGTTAAAGACTTTGCAGACTATCGATTAATATGGAAATGTACAGTCGCGGAATACTGCGTTGTTCCAAGAAAATTTGTCGTTGCAAACGAGACAAACACCGTGTCTTAGTATAAATAATTACTTAGATATAACGTGGAAATGAAGGAATAAAAGAAATAACCTTGTAACTGTTACTTTTTTCGTATATAAGATGCGTTTTATTGTATTCTGTGACTCGTCTCGTTTCAACATGTTCAAACGATTGTAGCGTACTTGGAACACCGCCAGTTTCCCCGATTGTACAGTGGGCACATAACTGTTTCGATAAATTGTGTAGTTTACTCTTACAGGTCAATGATTGGCATGTTCGGATTACGTCAAAATCGTTCGCGTTGTGGATTATAGTTGGTATTGCAGGTACAGTTGGAGAAGTAAATGTCGATATGATATTCGCGTACGTATATGTAACGTACAAAAGTTAGGTTAGGAAAAATATTTAAAAGGTAAATCGAATCCACATTTACTTCAAACAGTCAACAGTTGTTGCTAAGGAGTGTTAGTATGGACGATAAACAGTTGCCAGATGACGGGGAAGCAAAACAAATTACAATTAAAATAGCTCAAGATAACAGTTTAAAATATATTCCGATTATAGAATTTCAATATTATGTCAGTATTATAAATGTTAAATATATGTGGTTAAATTCTCAATTTTGTCTCATAGATTAAGATTGTTAAGATGTTTCCGTGTTATAGATAAATACATAGATGTGTTACCTATAGACATCTAATCCCGAGCACAAAATAAGGCAAAAAATCTTTATGGTTGGGGTAAATTTCCTTCAGTGTTGTCATTACCAATAAAAATATTTCTAATTCGTCGATTAGACATCAAAATTGTATAAAACGCATCTATAGGTTATATATCTATGGATTAATATTTAAATCCTCTCCTAATCCCCTTAGATGGTTAACTTAAGTCCTTAAAAATATTGACGTTTTATCAAACTTCATAGATTACGATAGCTAAAAGTTAACAAATAAAACGTAATTTTAGATTAAGATAATAGTAAATATAAATACTAACAATTTAAAAAGTTAAAATTCCATAGATTATAGAAATATTCCAAAGACTAAGTATCCAATAGTTCCAATAAATACGAAGTAGGTAAAATGTCGGTTTTAGCCAAGCCACTTTATTCGACGTTTCCACTTTCCTGTACTTAGAATGTCTAGATGTCCTGAATTATTCCTATATCTCACAGATTCCTATTCTATAGTGTATAGTGTTTCGCTTTGGTGTACCGCTAGGTACTATATTTATAGTATATAAAAACATATATAATTGTTTATAGTGAACATATAACCCAGTTTTCCTATGTCCTGTATTTTTTGTGCCTTGTAAAGTTGTTGCTTAAATAATGTGTAACTGGCTAGCCTGGCTTTGAGATTTCACTCTTGTCTCACTCATTCCCTTTGAAATAACTGAGATAGCAATATTGACTAATATAATTTGTGGAAACCCATGTTAATAATTAAAATATTATATAATAAATATGTTAAGAATAACACTAAATTAAACAAAATTAAATCGATTTATACATTGTTTTAAATTAATAACCAAATCGTTTAAAATATATGGGTAAATAATAAACAAGGCTAGTCCAGTAAAACAATGAAAGCGTCAATTCAGTGAGCAAAATATGTGCAAATTTATTGTGACTGCTAAATAATTAGTAATTGTTTCTAATATATCGACTCTATTGCATATTATGACATATTGCACAATGTTATCTCTCAATATTTTATATTGAAATATATATTTATGACTATATTAAAAATGTAAATGTATATTAACTTTTTATTTAATTTAATTGGACAAATCATACGTGAATCTATAAGAAAATAACTTGAAATTGTATTGTTAACAAAAAATACTTTATTAATACCTTTCTGTTTACTTTCCCTTTCATATAGACAAATCAGAAAAAACACTATGTTTAATACAGTTCAGAAATATTCTTTCGTGTATAGTTCTTTTCAAATATCTTAGCTGATCAAGATCATGCCCTCACTACTACATCAAAAATTGTGTTCTACGGCAAGTCGAGAAAAAAGTCGCCAAGATATCTGAATACTACAATACCAAAATTCTTGTTAGTTCAGTGGGCTCAAGAAAAATTGTATTTATAATGTGGCCAAATTGGTGCTTAGATAATTGCTTTGTTTGTTCTGATCTCATATTAAGTATTATTTATTTAGATGCCATAATGTGTTTAATAACGGGCGATTTTTTTTAATTAGTTAATTTTTAATTAATTTATTTCTTTATTGTATTTGACATATGTATATAAATGGAAGAACCAAAGAACACAAATCGTCCCTTTGGATATTTTTTTAATCTTTGACAATATTATAATTAATTTTGATTTTTAATTTAGTCTCTTGAATTTTGTATATATTTAGTTTAATCCTGAATAAGGATATTCATATTAATATGTTAGTATAGCTGGTTACGGAAATGTTTAATAAGAATTTATTATTTAAAAAAAAAATAAGATCTTTTTTTTTAACTGGTCTATATTAACAATTTTTTTAAATTATATAGGTAATTCATTTTGGCATTCAAACAATTAAATGCAAAATTTTCTTGTAGGCTATGATTGCATTTATTTAAAAAAAAAAACATTTTTCATCACAATTTAACATTGTATTAAGCACTATATGTTAAGACAATATTTTATAATTAGGTATACTTTATTTTAGATCTAGGACTTGTATTTACAATGGGAAATACTAAAAAACACATCAATAACAACACCATACATACTGCCCAAATAGACTGAAAATGTCCAAATATTTTTTTTGAAAAATTGTTTTTTGTTACATTGTGTATTGTATTTTTTAACGTTTTAATTGAATGCCAAATAAATAATAACACATATTGTTGGTTTTATTCATATTTTATTTGTTTAACTTATAAAATATATTTATAAATGTAGGAATTCATTAAATTACTGTGTAACTAGTCCTAGGTAGTCATCCATCAATGTTCCAATGGCAAACTGAAAAGAAAAATTCCATAGTCAAAATGCTTGTTACTATTGAAGTAGCAAACACAGTTGCATATTCACAATAGCCAGTATTTGCGCGATTGACCAGTTCAAATTTAAAAAAAAAACTTACTTAACACAAGCTCACTATTTCTCTATATTATAAAAAGAAAAGATTTGTATTTTTGTGTGTATTGATATAACTCAAAAAGTACTGGGGCGATTTCAAAAATCCTTTCACCATTAAACTATGTTATCAGTGAGTAACATAGGCTATTTTTTATTTGTATGTGGACCAAGTTGCCAGCGAGCTTTCTTGTTCCTGTTGCATATAAAAGTATAGTGATATTGCTCATTTTTTGAAGCATAGACAATAATGTGTTTATTGTCAGAGGAAACTGTAAAATTATCTATTGACTCACAATGCCACTGGCGTCAACTCGTGTGCCGACAATCTTCAGTCTAATTACATCCTCTTCCTGTATGACATTGTCTTCCTGTTTACTTTTATAGCATGGGGGATTTACATTCGGACAGAACTCCATATCAGCAGGAATTGACTGAAAGAGGAAAATATTACATTAAATTATCGTAAATATAAATCTATACTAACATTATTAAGAAGAAAAGTTTGAATTTTTGTATGTATTGGATTTACTCAAAAACTTCCTTTGCTATTAAAAAACTATTTCGCCAGAGAGTAACATAGGCTAACTTTTTTTTCAATTCTGCATGAACAAAGTTGCAAGCAACAGCTATAGTATGTAATTCTAACGTTTTATTTCATAACACACTTTGTAATTAATTTATTGCATCTTATTTATGAATATTTAAAACACATAACCTACTGAAATAAAGTTGTATTACAAGATCTAAACATTAAATTCGTGAGCACAGATTTGCAGTTGCTAAGTAGAGTCTAATGCCCTATTGTGATACTTTTTATAACAACTAAAGTAGTCCTAAGTGCTATGTGTCATACAAAATTAAGGGTACAGTACAGCACTTAATAAATACATTGCAATATATTTAACTTACATGATGAGATATAAAGCAACTGAGTGGACCAATCTGTGCAAACATTCCAACCTGTAAATAAAAACATGCCTACATTTTAAACAAAATCAAATAAAAACATAAAAAACAAAAGACATGTTCATTATTATCTGAAGCAGTGGCTTGAATATAAAAAAATGTATCTAATGTATCTGTCAATTTTTTAAATTTTACAAAACTTTGTTTCATGAAATAGAGTAAACCGACATACCTTATTGACTTGTGTAACTATTGCATCAAGGACCTCTCCCTTGAACGGTCTAAACACAATAGCCTTATATTTCACGGGATACACTACAAAGCCTTGCCCTGGCTGTATTAATCCAGCTCCTATGCTATCTATTGTTGTTACAGCTATTACAAACCCATATCTAGAAATAGAACAAGTAAATATGTTTTAACAGGGTACAAATACAAATTTAAGATTGTGAATAGCATCAGAGAAAGCAATAACAACTTCCACTTTTAGAGACGTCGTATTCAATAAGGTTTCTTGTGTATAACATAACCTAAAATCATTAATAAAAAAAACTTACTTGCCAGTACATGTCCCTTCAACTTCCGTGTAAAGTTTCTGTTTTACTGTATCCAATAACTGAGGGCCAAAGTACCGAGGGTGAAGCAATATTTCGTGCTCCAGAGATATCTGCGAAATCCGGTTGTGTTTACTAATAGTCAATAAGTATACAAATTACAAAATAAATGTATGTCATGACTTACATGATAAAACATTTTTAACTTAATTAGAAGTAATAGACTTGACAAACAGTAAAGCTTGAATACACTTAGTAATTCATTATGGACAAAAATATAACAATAATGTTAAAAATCTTATTTTACTGTAACGATTCCTGCGTCTTGTCGGTCCTGTCTCAAATGTCAATGTCATTGTCAAAATGACAATACTCTAAAACAACCACCCAAAAGCTTAGTCGATTGTTTATGGTTGAATCGAACAAAAGATCGATTAAAGACAAAGTAATTAAGTGAAGATTTTTAAAGACTCTATTTTTACTTTTGACTAGTTAAGCAAAAGCGGCTACAGGAACTGCAATAAACTCAAGTAAAATCGCTTTTGTACAAATACCTACTAAAAATTCATGAACTGAACATGATTTTGATTGAGTGTTGTTTGTTTGTGAATTAATTGAAATTATATCCATATCAATTAAGTTTTAAAAATACATAGTAACGGTTCTATCACTTATAACTTGAAATTCTTGATGACCAACACAATGTTTTTTCACAAATTATCGATACATAACATGTCATACTTGTAACTTGTAACGACATTGTCGTGATTTGATTTATCCCATCCCTATTAGATTACTCAAAAATGCCAAATGAGTGACCGTGTATTCTGTAATCAGATTGTTGTAAAAAAATGGCAAAAACTTACGATTGTTTATTCAAATTACTTTTAATAGGTGATTCTGGAGTTGGTAAAACATCTATATTATTTAGATTTTCCGAAGATGCGTTTAATATATCTTTTATATCAACCATCGGTAAGTGCCTTCATGTCTTTGTATCAAAGGTTATTGTCAGAAATGTATTTTTTGTGTGTAATTGTCATTCAACGAGTTCGTTTTTGCTTTATTGTTCATCGGGAGTATCATCTTGTGTGTGAACCAAAAGGGTGCGGCACAACGTAAACGAAGCCCTTATCAAATTAAATGAATGAACTGTTTATGACATCATACTCACTAACTTTAATTAGTACAACATTGAGTATATTAGTGGTCTGTTTTCAGGTATCGACTTTAAAATTCGGACGATAGACCTTGATGGTAAAAAAGTCAAGTTACAGATATGGTAAAAAATCGTATTTTATTTGTATTTACGTGTTGCATCTGTTGAAAACAAATTGACGAATTTCACATCTCTTTTAGGGATACCGCGGGTCAAGAAAGATTCCGTACAATAACCACGGCTTACTACCGAGGATCGATGGGTATTATGCTAGTATATGATGTGACAAATGAGAAAAGTTTTGAAAACATTAAAAATTGGATTAGGAACATTGAAGAAAATGCCAGTGCTGATGTTGAAAAGATGATACTCGGAAATAAATGTGACTTAGATGCTAAAAGACAGGTAACTATATGGTTTTATAATTTTCTATTAAGGTTATATATGAATGATTACCAATATTTGAATTTATGAAAGACAAAATTGAAGTGTTGATATATAAAATTGTATTTTTTAGAAGTATTCATAACATTATCTTATTAAATACATTTATAATGCACAGATAAACAAGATCCCACTAAAGCTGTGAAGCAAGTATAAATTTAAATTAATTATAAACTTTTAGTTATTTAAAAACATTTACATTTTATCACATGACAAAGAAAACATTAAGTACTGATTGTGTTAATAAAATTTTACTATCTTGAATAGTAAATAATTGAAAGTACAAATCAGAATTTACATACAAGACCAATGACTCATACGAGTTTGGTAAATGTGTTTAAATGGATTTTAGGGAAAGTGTGGTGATAATCTGTTATTCCATTTAGTTGAATAAAGAAAATTTGTTGCTAATATAAATAAGATTTTAATAATTACATTTATATTATTCCCTTCTTGATCATGTCACCTTTCACACAATGCATCCATCTCTGTCTATAAAATATTATATTTAATGAATAAAATTAATTCCAGGTATCAAAAGAACGAGGTGAACAATTAGCAATAGATTATCAAATTAAGTTTGTAGAAACATCGGCTAAAGACTCATTAAATGTGGAATACGCGTTTTATACTCTAGCAAGAGATATTAAGGCGAAAATGGAGAAAAAGCAGGTAAGAAAGATTCATCCATTAATAAATATGTTTTGGAAATTCCATGTTTTATCCTCCAAAAAACGTAATAGTCATAGATAATGTTAGGATGTACATATCAAAGATATTTTTTGTTGAAATATTAATGAAAAAACATGAAATGCTCTCACTTAGTTACACTTTGTGATTGTTTATAGTTCATGTTACATAAAATACCTTTGTCTATTTAAAAACTGGTCATTATATTTCTAAAGATTTCATTCTAAAATTTTTGTGTAATTTTTGTTCCATGTCTATCGTTACAAAAACAGAAGGTAAATTAATGTTAATTTGTTGTGGTGTTTTTTTCTTAAGTCAACTTTTTTTTATTAATATTTGTTAATTTATTTTAATGGAAATATTTTAACAATTTTTTTAAACACTTCAAATAGTTGAAATATTGCATGCATTTTTGTTATTATTGTGATTGCATGTTAAAGGCTCTCTAGCAATAACATGTACTAATGGAATTATACATTCTAAACAAATTTAAGGAAGTCTATGAATAGATATTTTGTCTCTCAAATAGTTTCCTTACATATAAAATTCCTCTTAATAACTTTTTGAATTTGCCTTTATTGCACTAATAAGTGTTTGTGCATGAGTTTAGCATATTTTGGATTTGTATAAGTCATCTACCTGCCCAGCAGTGATGACTATGAGCTATGACTTTTTTCTGGGTTCACACTTTGCCATTACAGCTGGACAGTTGCCCCAGCCAAGGATAGATTGTACACTATGCCACTTGTTTATACAGTCTTTGAGTGTTACTGACCAATTGTATTGGCTTGGTGTGAACCATGTGTAATATTGTAACAGGAGGCGAGTAACCCTCCGGGCGCCAGGAGCGGCGCGCACGTGCTGCGCGCGAGCGACCAGCAGCGCAAGCCGCCGTCTTGGCTGTCGCGCTGCAGCTTGCTCTGACGTCATCTCGTCACACCCTAAACACCCACCTCGACTATATTTTTCGACCAACCATTTTTGTCGGTGTGCGATAACTCCGAATCGGGGCTCAGACTTGCTTTTTGTATTTTTATATCCACGAATTCATTTGTCGTGAATCGCAGTCGCACAAAGCTGGGTTAATGGTGCAGTTTTAAAAAAATATTTTAATGCAATCGAAATATCATGTTGGTATTACCGACATGTTTTTGAGTTTTCCAATTATCAATTAGATTTTAAAAGTGAATGAATTTGAAAGTATTAACTTGAGCTTCGGTGACTGCTGTTTCAATTAACAGTATTTTTGTCATAAAATTTCCTGTAAAAATATATATTCTTCAATTGACAATTATTTTATTAGGACAAAATTAGTTGATGTTACATAATGGTTCAATGGATATTATTTCATTCATTAGATTATTAGCTGTACTTTCCTTTCGCTATTTTAATTAAGATATATATTATAATGTAATATATACGACATATTTAATTTGAATAAAGTGCTTTTTTTACAAATTAAGTTTTATTTTATCACCTTCCTAAATAAAAGACGTAACGCAAAGGTTAATAAATGAAAAACATGATTAAGCCACAATTTTATTGTCAACTATATACAAAATTTCCAACACTTACCGATAATTCTAAAATTTCATACACTTATAAACCTGCAATATTTGACAATTGTAACCTAACTATGTAGCTTGGACAGATTTAGACGAGGATCTGAATGGTCGAAGAGCCAGATTTTTTGTACCAATTAAAATACTTTTAAGGGCAAAAGTCAAAATTTGTACAAATTTGTTAGCAGTCACGATTAGAGCGTTAATTGTCATTTGTGAACCTTTTCTCCAGTAAGTGACATAGAATGGTATTGGAGGAAGTTTGTCGGACCAAACACCATTCCGATATTTCTTAGCGTAAGACTCTGCTGATTTTATGACTGGTGCTAATTGTGATTCCAGGGTTTTCTTCTGAATCGGCTGAGGTACTGAGGCCTGGGCAAAGCCGAGTTCAACTAATTTTTGTCCAATATCTAATGTCTCCATAGATTTTGCCTGGAAAAAAGTAAATTGATTAATTATTTTTTCAAGAAAAAGTAATAAACAGCTTTTATACTACATCATGATAAGATACGTAATCTATCAATCAACCTTTACAATGTCCTATATTACAACAAAACTAAGGAATTTGGTTGATTTTATAAATATAGGTAAAAGATGCAATGTGAAAACATCAGTCATGTTGTATTTAGATATCTTATTATCAATCATCTGAGATATTTTGACAGATCCAAGGCTACCACTTGTAACTGCATAAATTGTATTTGTTTCATAGTTTATTGAGGTTTTAATGTAAAAATAATAGTTTATTATAATAATAATAATAGTTTCATCAGAAATAATTTATGAGTTCTATATTAAATATAGCCTTTCTATGGACAAATTAGTATAATTGAACAACTCAATAAGTTAATTATTATTTTAAATAGACTAGAAATTATAGTGGTACAAAATAAATATTAAATACCCCAGACTGTGGTAAATGCAGTAGAACTGTTGATACTAGATCCTCCTTGTCTCTTCCGATGGGTTTGAGAGTAACTTTCTGTCCTTTGGCAACACACTCCAGCCAGTTGACGGCATTGCTACTCACAATGTCCACACCCCATAACTTCATACATTGATTAAAATAAAAAGTTATTAAAAAAATAAATCTTAAACATGCTTTGCATTAAGTGGAACAGGAAGGAAATCACCAGTTGAAATGTAATTTTTTTTTTAATATTTTGGTAGGTAATATCAGATTATTTTTTTTAGAAATACCATATACTGTTGCATGAAGCCATCATTTCATCTGTTTTAAAAAGAAATATAACAGTAATTCAACAACCGATTCAAATAAATGGAAATTTCAAAAACATACAGACCAATTGAGAAGACTACATTTTGAAGTCAGTTAAAAAGTTCTTCCTTTCTTCTATCATTGTGGATGTCAACTTATTGTTTAAACATTAAACTTATCATATATATTAAAACAGAGAATTATTAAGTACAAAAACATAAGTTACCTTAACAGGGATTGGTGGTTTACTGGAATGCCAAAGGGGTAAGTAAATTGGTGCTCTGTGGTTTACAAGGAGTCGTACAGGCGAATGTTGGACACCAGTGTACACTCCCTTTAACGGCTCATGATTCTTTATAAAGTGATCAGGAACTTTTGAGGCTTTTGAGAACTTGCTTACCTTGTAATTAGTAATTAAAAGTTAATGTTATGTAATGTACCGATAAAATGTCAATAATAAACATCACATAGTATTTACCGGACGGATTTTATGTATAGAAAATGCCAGAGACGCAGTAGCAAGCGCGTATACCGCTATCTGAAAACATCATTACACTTTACGAGTGATAAATTTCAAGTTCAACTCATATGACCCTAAAATACATACGTTTACGCCGCGATAATCTTGATTCAGTAAAGTCTGTAAGTTATAAAAGACACCTCCTTCACTTTCTGGCATTTTCTCTATTTCTTAAATTTGAAATCTCTAGTTTACATTATTACCTCATCGGTATTTTGAGAAAACTTTATACAAAATTGCGAAAACGATGATACTTGTTACCTTATTCCACTAAAATTTATATTGACATTGACAAACTGTCACTCAATTGACAAGCACAAATGATTCCATCAGTCAGAATGCTCAGAAACAAAAATGTCTTTTTGAACATAAAAATATGGAAGTTCACAATTTGTAAACATTTTGCTGAATTTTTTAAACATTTGGCTTACCTGCTTTTACGTTATTTTACACTTTGTACTTTTAAGTTAGACAATCTTCACAAAAAATAGTTTTCAGATAGCAACTCTAAATTCCACGTCAACGTTTTTGACAATTATAAAATCATTGACAGTTCCCTATAAATTGGAAAAAGACCGGAATATTTGTGTTAAATAATTTGTTTATACTAAAAATCTACAAGATGATTAGTGTTTTGAATACTATTGATACGGGGCACGAAGATATGATACACGATGCCGAGTTAGACTACTACGGATTACGTTTAGCCACATGTTCGTCGGATAACACAGTTAAGATTTACGATATCAAGAGTGGCACGCAAACCCTCGCTGCTGATTTGAAGGGTCACTTTGGTCCAGTATGGCAGGTCGCATGGGCACATCCTAAATTTGGGAATCTACTAGCTTCGTGTTCATATGATAGAAAAGTCATTATTTGGAAAGAAGCTGGCGAATGGACAAAGTTGTATGAATACACAGGTCATGAAAGCTCTGTGAATTCCGTGGCTTGGGCTCCCGCTGAATACGGACTTATATTAGCCTGCTGTAGCTCAGATGGGTCTATATCTATAATTACTTACAATCAAGATGGTGCTAACTGGGAGGTTAAGAAGATTCCTGGCGCTCATGCTATTGGCGTCAACTCTATTAGTTGGTGCCCCGCGATTTCTGCGGATTTAAGTTTAGATCCACTTACTAATAGGGAGGCACCTAAAAGAATAGTTTCAGGTGGATGTGATAATTTGATAAAGGTAAATATTTTTACAATGTACATTTGTTAGTTTCTATTTCTAGAAAGTCAATTTTCCCAATACTAATTCATATTTATATTTCAGATATGGAAAGAGCAGGGTGACCAATGGGTTGAGGAAAATCGTCTAGAAATGCATATGGATTGGGTGCGAGATGTTGCATGGGCGCCATCATTAGGTCTGCAGCATTCTATGATAGCGAGTTGCTCACAAGACAAGAGAGTTGTCATCTGGTCAAGTGATGACAATGTGTCATGGACTCCAGTGATCTTGAACACATTTGATGATGTTGTATGGAGTGTCAGTTGGTCCTTAACTGGTAATATTCTAGCTGTTTCTGGAGGTGATAATAAGGTCAGCCTTTGGAGAGAGAATGCCGATGGACAGTGGCTGTGTATTAGTGAAGTTGCTAAAGGATTGGGACAAACACCTAATGAGGAAAGAAGCACTCTTTAAGTTTAATTGTAAAATTTGATATTGTGAAATAATGTAAAATAGTAATGTAATTCAGTTTCTATTTTGTTCTAAAATTAATTATTGAAATACATGAGAAAGAATGTAAAAGCCAATAAGGTGTTAAGTTGTAATTAAAAAAATAACTCCATATTAATTTTTTTTTGTCTAAAACTTAATAATATTTAATGGCATTAACATTTTGTGTTTCAATTAATTTGAATTTGGCATCATAATTTTTATTAATATATACAATAAAAAAACTAATGTAATAAGATATTTCCATTTGTGTATTGTTTAGAAATAAAATTTAAAAAATTAATATTTTTTTATTTTAATTCACTTCCTAGCTTAAAAGTACAGTCACATTTGCGGTATTTCAGTTAGAGAGAAATTGTTTTGAAATACCACATTTAAATTTCGTGCTTACAAAAAAAAAACGTATTATCAGCGTTTTGCAATATTTTTTGTTCATTATTTTTTAATTTTAAGAGAATCTAATTTAATTACCATTCTATAGGTGGAACACTGTTATCAAAGCTCACTGTACATCTTAAATATTATATCACATGTTACTTAAATTAAATTCAATGAGTTCTAACAATAACGGCATCTTGTAGTATTCAGCAATTGTCTTGAATGTACTTAGTTGAGTTTGGATTTCTTTCTGTGGGACCATTAGTGCGAAATCACCAGCGCAGTCACATACAACTGCTAGATTTTCTCTTTTCACCTGTAATTATAATTATTTCTATAAACTTTCACTACCTTATGTGTAATCCCTGACACTACTGCAAATACTTTGACTATACTGTGCTCACTGGACTAAACAATAATTATACAGCCATCAGCAAGGTGTTGCCACTATACTTGTCAGACAGCAAATATAACAAATTGCTATCAATGTGGACTTTTTTTTATAACAAAAGTCAATACAACAACTGTATCCATTGGTTACCACCCATGCATTAGTACTTTGGAAAAGAGGTCGAGAACATTTGTTTATATTTTTAAAGGGACTATATCATTATGGTTAATGACTTAGGGGCTGTCCCACTAAATAGTAAATTGTCTGGTAACAACCCAAAATGTAAAATATGTGATGGAAATATCGGATTTCGTTATCTTATCTGGCAGTGACGTCATTTTTTCCTATCTGAGCTTTTATTATTTTTTTTATTACATCAGGTGGCAAACGAGCAAGCGGCCACCTGAAATCGCCAAAATGGCGAAGCGACCGCTGCCTATAGACATCTGCAATTGAAGATGCGTTGCCTACCCTTAATTGACGGAGAAGGAGACGCACATAAAGAGGACATTTCCCCTTCCTATGCCTCTCCTACACCGTCAAATCCACTTTTCCTCCCCATCCTTTCCTCTTAAGAAAAGGGTGGAAAGGGAAAGGGACTAAAATTAGGCCTCCGGCACCACACTCATCAGACGAAACGCGGAATCGCTTCCACTTCACGCCTGTTTTCTGTGTGGTCGTGGTATTACACCGGGCGAGCCGACCTATTCGTGCGAAGATGTTAAAGCGGGCTCTACCACTGTTAAGATGTTAAAGCGGGCTATACCACTGTTAAGATGTTAAAGCGGGCTCTACCACTGTTAAGATGTTAAAGCGGGCTATACCACTGTTAAGATGTTAAAGCGGGCTATACCACTGTTAAGATGTTAAAGCGGGCTCTACCACTGTTAAGATGTTAAAGCAGGCTCTACCACTGTTATTTTATCAGCCAGTGGGACACATAAGTGTTACATACCTGATGGCATCTGGTACAAACAAGGTCTTGTAACGTGAAAGTCATTGCCCGCCTGTTCATGACTTCGATCAGCCTCCATTCCAACTCCTGGTTATCGTATGGTGTTCCACATGTGGGACAGAGACACACTGGCCTGCAAAATACATTAAATGCTGCAATTTATTTGGAAATTTCTTGATTGTGCATTTTTCAAAGATTTCTCAAATGTTTATTTTTATTTATAAACTAACTGTTGCTCGCTTGCGTCCGCTTGGAATTAAGGAACATAGTAAATAATATAGCCTATGTTACTGATTGATTTAGCTTTTTAATTGGGAAAGATTTTTTGGAATTGGTCCTTTAGTTCTTGAGTTAAGTTATGCATTTAATGGTTAACTTGCAGTGATATTATTAGCCAGCAACATTTAATAGTACATACGTGTCATTGAGTACGTCCCTGTGCGTGTCCCTGCAGAGGTCGAGGTCCCTGCAGGCGTTGCACACGTTGCAGATGATCTCCGGCAGCGGGCAGGCGGCGCACGGCTCGCGCCACTGCGCCGCGCTACTGAACTCACCAACACCCAGCAGACGGAGCAAGTTGCGACGTAGTAGTGTTACCTGAGTAATATATGCATTACTAGCTGTCGCCCGCGACTCCGTCCGCGTGGAATTAAAAACAAAACAAAAGTGAGTAGCCTATGTGTTCTTCCAGACTATCCTCTAGATCCGTATCAAATTTCATCCAAATCCGTTCAGCTGTTTAGGCTACAAACTCTAACAAACATCCATCCGTCTAAACTTTCGCATTTATAATATTAGTATGAGTATGATTACTGTATAAATTGGTTAATATATCGGTGTACTAGCTGTTGCCCGCGACTTCGTCCGTGTGAAATTAAAAAATATAGCCTACTAGCTTTCGCCCGCGACTGTCCGCATGGAATTAACAAAAACAAAACTAAGTAGCCTATGTGTTGTTCCAGACTATTCTCTACATTCATACCAAATTTCATCGAAATCAGTTCAGTTTTTTAGCAATTCCGCGTTTCGTCTGATGAGTGTGGTGCCGGAGGCCCAATTTTAGTCCCTTTCCTGCTCCACCCTTTTTCTTATTAGAAAAGGATTAGATGAGAAAGTGGATTTGATGGTGGAGACGCATTGGAAGGGGAAATATCCTTTTTTATGTGTGTCGCCTCCTCTGTCAATTAGGGTAGGTTATCTGCAATTGCGGATGTCTGGGCAGCGGTCGTTTCGCCATTTTGGCGAAATTAGGTTGCCGCTTGCTGGTTTGTCATCTTATTGTAAAAAAAAACGTTTCCACTATATTTCTTAGTATACCTGATCATCAATAGATTGGTGTAATGAGAGCACTTTGCAGACTGCGTTGACGAAGAGCAGCGCGGGCGTGGCGTCCGCTGCGTCCGCGCGCGCGCCCGGCTGCGCGGGTATGTCGCCCGCACGCAAACACGGCATACGTAAGTTTATCTTCTCTGTTACACTGAAAATATATAAAAAAAATTAAACATAAACACATGTAGTTAATAATATTAAAACTACGAGTAAATAAACTTTTGTATTTTTTTTTAAATTAAGCTGAAGTGACTGAAATAAAAGTTTGTCGCACATAGTTCTAAGGTTGATTTTATTTGGCGGAGGTATTTTTGCTTGAAGTCAAGAAGATAGAATAAGAGAGAAATAATGAATTACTCCATCAACAAGAACGAACTTGGTTCTAGAATTAAGAACTCAAGTTGAAAATGTTGATTTCATATGTCAAGATATCATCAACATGACAAACAATATTATAGTAAACTAGCTTTCACGCGCGGTTCCCTCCGTATAATCTTAAAAAAATAAACAAAAGTAAGTATGTGTTTTTCCAAATCTATGCCAAATTTCATCAAGATCCGTTCAGCAGTTTCTACGAATTCCAACCAACATCCATCCATCTACACTTTCACAATATTATTAAGATAGAAAAATAAAATTTCTCACCGGAACAGTTTCTGTGATATTTCTCCAGCGACTAAAGCGGGTAGTTTATCCGGTGCGGAGTAGGCAGCGCTGAGGAAGCCCGCCACCGCCGTAGAGAAATGCTCCCTCACAGCCAGTGGTAGGAACTCCGCCAAGTTCCACTGCATCGTCACCTCGCCCTGTATACAATTTATAATTCGTATTTAAAATTATTGCGGCCACTTGAATTCGCCTAAGTGGCGAATGGCCGACTTCAAGGTCCGTAGATGACAGAAAGGGTTCCTTGGGCGACGTCAAGGACCATTGGCGATATAAAGGGCGCCTTAGGCGACATAAAGGGCCTTAGGCGACATGATGGGGCGCCTTTTTATGTCGCTTTTCTTATGCGAAAAGTCAAACATAAAGCAACTTTAAGTAACTAGAAAGCAACTGTGGTAGGAACTAGAAGTAATTACAATAGAGAAATTATAGATAAAGCGACTTACGCGTTTTATAGTAGGTTTAAAATTGTATACTAACCTCTTCTTGTGAATTTTCCTCACTTTGTGCCGGGGCCTGTGACGAGCCGACTTCAACTAAACCTGCCGGCAACTTGCCCTACACAAAAATAAATAAAAATACAAAATAAATGTCATATATGCTTACGAAATATAAAAAGAATTATACTGACCATTAATTATTCCTTTATAAGCTAGACATATATTTTCATATTAAAATACAAAATTAGTATAAAAATTCAATTTAAGATCAATTTTATCTGACTCGAAGGACCAAAATGTCTAAAATTGAGTATATATAGTAGTAATAATAGTATTACAAGTGTTATTTTTATATATGTGTTTTTAATTATGTAAAATATATCATACTAATATTACTAACGCGAAAGTTTAGATGGATAGATGTTTATTAGAGTTTATAGCCTAAACTGCTAAACGGATTTCAGTGAAATTTGGTACAGATGTAGAGGATAGTTTGGAAGAACACATAGGCTCTGTTTTTTTTTTTTTATTTCCACGCGGGAGGTTTCACGGGCGAAAGCTAGTTATATATTAAATAAGAAAATTAAGAGATAGACAATACCTGTATCCCGGCGTGGTTTGCCTCATCCAGCCACAGTAGGTAGGACCAGCACTGCTTGTAGCGGATGTCGATGCCGTGGAACAGCTCCTTGTTCCTGATGCTCTGCACCACGAACTCCACGTACCCTGGAGTTAGTATTTAAAAACATATCTCGGCATAGCGACTTTTGACTGTCAAAGGATTTGTATAACATTATACTCATCCCTAAGCGTCGTCTGTCATATAATAGAACCTCGATAACCCAAACCTCGGTAACGTAAAACCTCTATAACTTCAAAAACAAATGTTCCCTTCCCATCAGCGCCCAAAACCTCTATAATATAGACCCTTGATAACTTAAAACCTCTATAACTTAAAATATTTTGTGTTTCCCTTGGACTTTAACTTATCGAATTACTGTATTGAGTGCGGTGGCTCAGGGGTTGAAGCATTTGACTTGTAATCTACAGGTCTTGGGTTCGAATCCTGTAGCAATATGATTATCAATCGAATTCCTTATTTACATAATTAACCCTACGTTCTTAAAGCGAAAGAAGAAGAATAGCGAAGAATCCAAAGATGAAGAGAAGTCAACCAACCCTTAGTGGGACAATGTTGACTATGGCCTAGTCACCTACAACTTTAGGTTAGGCCACAATCCCCTTAGTGGGGACGTATAGTGAAACTAGTAATGATGATTTAATTTATTAGTTTCTAGTGTTTATGCAGTGATTTTAGTTAATCATACTAATTTATCGAATGTTTAGATGGATGTTTGTTAGCGTTTGTAGCCTAAACGGCTGAACGGATTTCGACGAAATTTGGTATAGATGTAGAGGATAGTCTGGTAGAACATAAGAGCTACTCACTAATTATTTATTTTTAAAGTACACTTACAGATAAGCTATAGAACAATTACATAAGAAATAAGTTAAAAGACACAAGAATGATAACAAATCCAGTTATAGGTATACAACATTGTTAGAGAAAAAAAAACATTACGGTTAGGTTACGAAAAATGTGGACCAAACAAGATAAGAGAAAAAAAAATTAGCTAAATCCAAGTCTTATGGCCTCTGAATGTGAGCATATGTGTTTTTTAAACTATTGTTTTTTTTTTAATATCAAGCGGGCGACAGCTAGTAATCAACATCTGCGATTGACTAGAGGTAGTTAATAATTTACAGTAAGAATATAACTTACCGATACCATCCATGACAGTATTCTTCTTAGTATAGAGAATTATTTTATTGAAGTCAGCATACACTATGGCGGAGCCGAGCCGCTTGAACTCCGCCACCAGCATGAGGAACAGCTTCTTCATCAGGTTGTACAGAGTACGACGCAGCGCGGGGTCGTATAGGAGTGATGTTGGCGTCTTCAGCCATCTGGTGAAGAATATCATCACCACCTCGTTATATATCATCACATGGTCTCGGAGCATATCCTAAGGGGTGGCTAGGCTATAGTTGTGAAGAATTTTAGTTGGTTTAAACTATGGAATATTGAAACGACATTTAATGTAACAGCGAATTAAATGATATCAATAATTAAAATGCTTTTTTGCTTTTTATCTAGAAAATTATATTAATAACTTACGTTTGACTGATTGTAAGCGGCGCCTATGATTCGTTTCAATATTCAGCCGATAGTGTTCAATTGGTATGAAAAATAGATTTTATTATTTTCATTGACGATAATCACATCCTACGTAGACTTTTCGTCTATTAATTTTTAAGGAATTTGTGGTTACAGCGCGTTGTATTTTAATTTCGTTTCATTATTCAACTGTAAATGACTCTTGTACTATTATTACCTATAAAAGTGCGATATCTGATAATCAGCGAAGACGTTTTTGTATTGCGTGACGTCACGCAGCCAGGCCGCCACCATCGTGCGCAAGATCTTAAACGCGGCGCTGCACTGCGCCGCCTCGTCGTAGTTAGTCGTCGCATTTGCACCTTCAAATAAAAATAATTACAACAAAAATAATTAAAGCATATGTACAAATAACCGAGCGAATTACAAACATTTTTGTGCGAATTTCTTACGAAATAATACGTATGTACAGTGAAATCCCTCCACGGTGTTATACTTATTGAAGGTGGCTTGGTCCTTAACAACATAGTACCTTTTAAAAAAAGTTAAGAAAAATAGTTGGTCATGTTTGGTCTATATATTTCTTATAGTTTGGATAAAATGAAAAAAAAAACACTTTTCTCAAATCAATAATGTCCTACAGAACAGATTTAAAAATAAGACTAAACAATTTTTTAGTACTACAGACGCACATAATCGAATCGATTTCACTATTATTGAAACCGTTATATTCTTTACACTATATTCACTAGAACTGTCCTCTTATTAGTTAATAAGTAAATAATAATTTTAGTTCGATAAATTTTATTTAAACCGATTATCGATAGTTCATAGTTGTTCGCTATGCGTGCTTATTTCGTCACTACGATACCTGTCTATTAAGTAGGACGTTTACTTCATACAAATTGAATTCGATATGTGCGTCATTTTTTAAAACTAACCTATACTATTATAATAAAGCGTAAACACACATTTCTTTGTTGCCTAAGATCTCAGCAATAACAGCGTGTTTTTAAATAATTCTCTTTTTAATAAAAAGCCCTACACTTACGTCATGCTTTAGGCTAAAGATTTTCACGCCATTAAACTTAGGGGGTAAATATTTTGGATAAAAACCCTAATGTGGGAAAGAGACCATAAGTTGCTGCAAACATCAAGGAAGCAAGATTGCCATAGTAAGGTAATTGGTATTTTGACATTTGCAATTGATAATTTGACAAATACAAACAATAAATTATAATTTTAGGCAAACTATGCCTGGTGTAAGTGTAACACCGCGTATTTCCGCGACAGTACCTGTAGAAGTGATAGCATCCTGTATGTTGTGGTGGTGAGCGCCGAAGGAGGTGGCGGCGCTGGTGCCCTCCGCGTGCAGCACGTGCTGCGCCTGCAGCAGCGCGCACACGCTCAGCGCGTCGCTCTCCAGCTCCACGCACACGCCGTACGCGCCGCTCGCGCTGTGCGCGCACACACACATCTCCTCCACTTCGCTCACTAACCTACCAAATAACCTTGATTTATGTGTTCTGTCGTTTAAATATGCAATCTGAAATTACGGATGTCGCAGCGATTGCTTCGCTTTTTTGCTAGGACTTGTATCACCACTGACTGATAGAGGCTGAGATAGCTGATGACGTCACTGTCAGATAAGGGAACAAAATCTGATACTCCCACCACATATTTTACACGTTGGATTGTTATCAAACAATTTATAATTTGGTGGGACAAGCTCTTAGAGTTGTTAATTAGTCACTAAAGCAACCATGGGACCTAATTTGAAGGATAATATTGCACTATTGTACTAATATTATAAATGGAAAAGTTTAAATGGTCGCATGTTAGTTTGTCAGAGTTTGTAGCTTCGATGAAATTTGGTATAAATGCGGAGGATGGATTTGAAGAACACATAGGCTACTTATTTTTTAAGAATACGCACTCGGAGTCACAGGAGAAAGTTAGTTCACAATAAAGCGCAATAAAAGAATGTAAAGGAACTGTGACAATTCTAACAAAGTTAATACGTCGGAAATCGAAGGAGGCAGAAAGTTTTAGAAAAAGCATAGTAATTTCTAATATAGATGATGTAATTTTGACATTAATATAATAAAAATTTAAATTTTATAAATAAGTTATGAACCTATTATCATCGATCTCTCTGCCGCCGAGATCAGGTCTCTCCAAGTTGGAGCACCAGAGCACGAAGTTGTTCTTGACGAGATGTCTCGCGTAGAACAGGTCCGCGCCGAACAGCGTCGGGTCTGACGGCATGTTGCCTACAGGCACATGGAAATATCTGCAAATAACATAGATCATAGAAATTCCTCTTTTTGGAAGTCGGATGAAAATATAAATACTTGCTAATAATATATGGAATCAGATAGGACAGCTGATAGAGATGTATGGAAGAGCAGCACATACTGTGCCGACCCTCCATAAGGGATAAGGGCAAGTTGATGATGACGATGCCAAATAACCACTAATAGCCTAATGGTTAAGAGTATGGATTTTCCTAGCAAACACCTAGAATTTAGTTAGAATAACATAGAGACTATTACCAAATTAACCAATATCTAATAATATTTTAAAAAACATTCTTATACACGCTCAAAGACTAATTCCCAACTGATATTGTTTTTTTTTTGTATTCTTCTGGGAAGTCCCTGTTACCAATTTCAAATTAATTACTAGTTTTAATTAGTCTTTTAGGTAAGATAAAGACAACAGAATACATAATACACAATACATTACATATTATAATATTTATTTTACCTGCTTTGTTCAATAGTCATATTCAATACGGAGTCCAGGTTGAGGTAATGTCGCACGATGGCGCGCGCTCCCAGCCGCTGCCACTCCAACGTACTGTACAGAGTCTCCACGTCGCGTACGTGCAGCGGCACTAAGGGAAACTCTGACAAACCTACGTATCAAGGTAAAGTGATTAATAAAGGGTTTTGAAAAATAAAACTACATCAGTCTACAGGTAATAGATAAGAATACAAAATAACAGAATATTTTGCTTACATTTCTTAATTCAGTTCCGTTAAACTCAACATTTTTGTTAGGATATGTGCTACAATAGTTGAATGATAGGACTCGAATCCACTGTCAAGAAATTATAATTCTTAGAATATTTATACTTTCTAGTCGATTTAAATTAAAAAAAAAGAATAATGCTACATAGGTATATGACCGGTTGCAGTGGTTGATAGTTTTAGGTAAAGGAATGTGAGTATAAAATACGCACGCATACTTAGAGGTTTGCCCCGTGCGCGTATATCACGCCGATACCTAAATTTGTGGACAATAGTCGCTAAATAATTTGTATACAATTCACGGACGTCGCCAGCTAATGATCTAGTCATGGGCAAGTCAATGGTCAAGGGGGTTGCTAATAAAAACATTATTTTCTTCCAAAGATAATGTTTAAACGAAAAACTCCCAAGACGTTAGCAATTTATCTCGTCTCTAGGACATTAGTATTTTACTTATATAAGGGGAGGGGGGTTGCCTAGGATGTGTCTGTTACCTGGTATCAATGTGAGCAACGCCGCCGTCGACAACGAAGTCTGCAGCGCGAGTAACGTAGCACCACAGCGCTCATCTCTGTACCGCTGTAACGCACGCCCCACGCCGCGCCATACTGCGCGTCCAGAACTTTCCACCACCGTCTCCCATGTCAGCTCCGCGCTGACCAGCTCGCTTTCATCCGTTCCTAGCTTTATCCTAAACACATGCCTATGTAAGTTCTCTGATATTTGCCCCACAACTGGACGCTGACCAGCTCGCTTTCAACCGGGAATAGGTTTATTTTAAATATCCGCTAATGTGAGTTTTCTCAGATTTGTCCTGACTTAAAGACAAATATGCGCCAGTCTGTGAGTAGGAATATTTCAACCCTCACCCCGCTCTGTCCCCACGGGGGGACAGATGAAAAAGAAACGTTTTTTCGTCCAACATTTTGCGACAAGGGGACGGTTGGAACTTATTTTATTTCTTAATGGTTCCATCTGTCACCTTATTGGTGATGGTGGGACAAAACGGTGGGACGAAATGACACACAGATTTCGGTAAAAGTTACTATCTATGTTTTTTAAATGGTGAAAGAATTTTTGAAAATAGTCCAGCAGTTTTTGAGTTATTTCAATTCATACAAAAATACGAATCTTCCCTATTTATAGTATGACTTTGGTATTTTCTTTACACATTATAAATAAAACTTACTTAGCTGTACGTTCCGCAGCAAACAGTGTATTCATATTGGGGAGCTGATTTGTCTTGACTGTGTCCAGTACAAATATGTAACCCTTCTTAATAGGACCCAGTATTAACGCCCACATACTTCTGCTAGAGTTTAACGCTGAATGTTGGTACAGAAATATATGTTTCATAGGCGATACACCATCCTGAAAAGTTCATAATATTAAATATACTAGCTTCCACCCGCGACTCTGTACGCGTGGAATTAGGAATAAACAAAAGAAAGTTGCCTATGTGTTCTTTCAGACTAACATTTATATATAAGCTAAACATAGATGCCTTAAAGCTTTTAGGCTACAAATATCTATCAAAACTTTCGCATTTATATTAGTACTAGCTTACTCCCGCGACTCCGTCCGCGTGGAATTAAAAAAACAATAGTGAGTAGCCTATGTATTCTTCCAGACTATCTACTCTGTACTCTACATCTATACCGAATTTCATGGAAATCCGTTCAGCAATTTAGGCTACAAACTCTAACAAACATCCATCCATCTAAACTTCCGCATTTATATATTAGTATGATATAAAAATATTATAAACATGCTCGGCTCATTATTAATATGTGTTTCTACATACTTGTTTAGGTAAATATGGCTGATGTGCAACACTCTTGAACTGAAGTTGGCTCAAAGTGAACATATCCATTACGTTTGTACCGGATTGAATCATCCTGAAAAAAAATATCAGTTTGCATCAAAATTCAAACATTTGAGACATCAGATGTCATTTTATACATCAACTAGTTGTTGCTTGGGACTTCGCCCACATGAAATTAAATAACACACATAAAAAAAAAACATACAGACGACTTGAGTACCTCCTTCTTTTGGGAAGTCGGTCAAAAATATAAACTACGTTACTCACTGATAACGTAGCTTTTTAATGGTGAAAGATTTTATGAAATCGGCTTAGTAGTTTTTGAGTTATTTCAATATATACAAAAATACAAATCTTTCCTTTTTATATTATATATATAGATGTAATTTACAATGATCTTACTTTCTGGCCTCCTGTGGGTCGACAGTACAGATGCAGCCCAGTTGTACTAGAACTCTGAATTCCAGGCTCATCTGAGTCTCGTAGATTCCTTCGATTTCTGGCGCTGATAGTTCTCCCATTAATTCCCTATAACACAAACGTTTTTAAACATTAATGTAATAAAAAAAACATCTTATATGATTAAATATTGAATGGTCAATATATACGAGATTTAAAATACACATTAGAAAAAATTTACCACTGGACATTTTTTTAAATTTAATTTCGAGAGAAAGTCGTAATTTTATTTGGTTAGTTCAAAATTATTTATAGGCTTGATCAAATTAATTGTAGTTACTTGCAGTTTTTGTCTCTTTCCTGCATGACGATTTTTTCTCCATCTCGCTAAGTTTAATAGTGTGCAAATGTACAAGTATAGCCTAAAGCGTGTCGTAAGTGTAGGGTTTTTTATTACAAAAATAATTATTCAAAAATATGTTGTAATTGCCGACATCTTAGGCAACAAAGTAGTGTGTCTTTACGCTTTATTATAATACTAGCTGTTCGTGCGGCTTCATCCACATGAAATAACGAAAATTTTATTTTATTGTTAACATTTGTCAAATTATCAATTACAAATGTCAACATGACATGACATGATGACAACCTTGCTTCCTTGATGTTGGCAGCAACTTATGGTCTCTTTCTCACATTAAGGTTTTTATCAAAAAAAAATTACCCCGTAAGTTTAATGGCGTTAAAATATATAGTCTAAAGCATGACGCCAGTGTAGGGCATTTTATTAAAAAAGGAATTATTCAAAACCATGCTGTAATTGCTGACATCTCAGGCAACAAAGAAGTTTGTATTTACGCTTTATTATAATAGTATAGAAGTATAGATAGCAATATCCAACAATATACTGAGATTCCTGGCGTCCTACATAACTAAGTAGTGTGTGTTTATGCTTCATTATATTCGTATAGATTTTATGTTGTCAAGAATAGAATAAAAAAACTCACTCCTGATGTTCCCTATATATCTGTTCAGGTACAGTATACTGGTAGAGATGCAAGGCGGGGTGCGCGCGCGGCAGCACTCGGTTGCATTTCTTCCAGTAGGTGCCGCTGTCCGCGCCGCGGGACACGCGCTGGTTCACGTAGAACGTGCGCGGCACAGTCAGGCGTATCTGATGTAACTCGTTACCCACTAACGCCCATAACCTGAAGAGACCTGGTTCTGATGTTTCTGATACCTGTGATATATAATAAAATCGATAAAAACATATCCTGTCCACTGTTGTACTGTTGTTGTTGGTATTTTTCTATGTATCGTTAAGAAAATCAGTACCGCGCTGTAGAATTGGCGCAACACTAGATTATTGGCATAAACGTCACATCTCTATCTGATGGCTGTCAATGTCATCAGAAGGATTGGTTTTTCGCGCGCATTCCTGGCGAGTTCCCTAGTGGAGTGTTAATTTCCTTTTTATTGTATTTTTTTTTCAGAATATCTGCCAGTACATTTACTTGCATTATGTGTAATTTAAATATTGTATTTATATGGTCGTATTTAAAGTCGTTTTTTAAATCTGTTTTACATTTTTAAATTCAAAAGGGAGAGAGTGAGATAGTGAGAGTGGGAGAAAGAGAAGAAAGATTCAGCATAATTTTAAGTCTTATCGAGTTTAATTTTCTCACCTGTATGATCTGCCAGGGTGTATTCAACAACGTACGTTGAGCTCTTTTCAGAAACCCACCCAAAGTGTTAACAGGCCCTGTGCTTTTAGGTATAGCGGGTGATTTCTCAATTTTACCTGAAGAAATATTAAAATAAATTAAATTACGTAATAAATGTATAAAAATATTATGTTTAATATCTTACCTCGTTTATTTCGATTAGCTAAACCCTTTTGTTCCATTTGCCATTTCCATTTTTTCTTTTGAAATACAATCCATGCTATACGTTCTTCCTAGAATATATATTTTTCTTATAAAAGTGCATTTTATTAGCCTTTTATTTTAATTAGAAAATCGTTTATAATTACTTAAAATATTAATATTTTACCTTTGTATCGCCGAAGGGCGGTGGAGGTCCTAACGCCTCCCTCCATGTAGCGAATTCTTTAGTAGGCGATTCCTCGCGTTTTCTTTTCACTTTGTGTACTATTGGTCTGATCGGACTTTTATTTGTAGTCGTTTTTCCTATATCTTCAATGTCCATTTCGGTGTTCTAAAACGTAAATGGTACAAAAGCTGTTAAAAACATGAATAGACTCGAAATTCGTGACGTCACAACGTGTTCGTACAGAACACTAACATTGTATAATAAAACGACAGTATAAAATAAAATTAATAAATATAAAATAATAAAAAAATAATATAAAATCACAGTAACTTCCAATTATATTAAACATTTTGGCGTCTATTAAATTGTATTGCTTACAACAAGTGTTTAAGATGCGTTAGAGAGAGAGAGAGCGAGAGAGAGAGAGAGAGAGAGAGAGAGAGAACGTTTCATGAGCATCATATTGCAGACAAAGATAAGTGTAAACACAATACTTACACCAGTTTCATCTTGACTTCCTCCCGCTTCATCTTGTACTTGCTGAATTTCTCTTGGTTTAGCACTGAACATGTCCGTGATCTTTCTCGTCTTGAATTTATCCGTTTTAGCGAGCATTTTCTTATGCAGCCAATCGGGATACTGCACTCTAGGTACTGGGTTATCTAACTATATGGATAAATTATGAAAAATTAATATATCTACATATACAAAATTGACACATTCAGTGCTACTTAGCGAATTCACTGGAATAAAAAAATAACGATGGCATTTAATGTAAACTTTGTTAATGCTAGTATTTTTTTACAAATAACCCCAAAGTATCTTTTACCCGTGATATCATCGTTGTCAGTTTTAAAAAAAGTATATCACGTATTCAACCAAACTTTTACATCCACATGAAATTTCATCAAGATCTGATAAGTCCTTCTAGAGACATCTAGTGACATCCAACCAAATATTCGCATTTATAAAATTAAGTGAGGTATAAAAATAAAGAAACGGGTGATCACAAAAGTGTTATCTCCACACGCCACTACGATTTCGTTCGCAAGTGGGCTCGCCAGGCCAGTTAGCAATAAATGTGTCAAACGCGTGTATAAAATACCACTAACCCCTTGCATAGCAGCAGGTATAGTAATAATCTTCTGAATAGCGCCGCTCAGTCTCTCTATATAGTAGGCCCAGTCCAGCACATCTCGTATATCAACATCGTCAGCTACTGTGGGATCCTTCAGCCAGCGACGGAGGTGGTGTCTCCGCACGCCAGCCGGGGATTGGAAGATGGCCAGAGGCACCGCACGCTCTGTTACTGGAGCGCCCTCTGGTTTCCGAGATATTATAAACCTATACCAGTAGGGAAATCTTGTAAATAAACGTTTCCAGAGACCTTGAGTAATAAAAATTGTTGGGAGTTTATTGATAGACAGGACAGCAGAGTGCCTATTATACGCGTTTATGAGCAATTTTGGAAGCAAATAGCTATCTATATAGAGGTATAGTCCGACAAGGATATCTGTCCCGGTGCTAATTATTTTAGTCACCAGTGGCCTCCCCTGTCAATGTTAAAGTATTACAACATTCTTTTCGAATTTTATGGTGAAAGCTGCGACTACAGAGCTTTTTCATCTAAAAGATATACTTGTTTGTTTTAACTTCTATCTACCACTAAATAAGAGCTAGCTATTAAATAAAAGCTACCATACAACAAGTATGAGTGGATAAAATGTTGTAAACTAATCTGTGTGCAATTATAAAATTAAACAAAAGCAAGTAGTAGCCTATGTTTTCCCCCAGACTATCCTTTTCATTTATGCCAAATTTAATGGAGATCTGTTCAGCGGTTTAGGCTACAAATTATAACCAACATCGTATTTATAATAGTATCATGTATTTTTAAGTATTCTATAAAGTTCTGAAATAAATAAAAAATATAGTATTTCGTTGGCGCTTTCAAAACACCCTATATAATGTTAAATTTATATAAAACAATTACTTACCTGCAAGCTAGTCCAGCATCTTTCACCATCTCATCACCGAGGAATTCAGCTAATCTTTTAGCAGTAGATATTGAAGTAGACTTTTGTCCTCCGTAATCTTCTAACTTCTTCGACATTGATCTATTTTCTGATATCAACTCGAATAACTCTGAGTCCGGCATATTCGAGCCCTTACTGTACAACACATCGAGCCAATAATCGGCCACTTTCGCGACTGCACTATAACAAGTTTTTAAATCATTCCCTTTTAAAAATGCTTCAAACACTGATGATTGGAATATTTTTATTAATTGCAATTCACCGCGACGTTTCACTTCGAAACCTGAAATTTGAAAATTCAAACTATTGAGCCGATTTCAAAAATTCTTTCACCATCACCGTAGGCCTATCTTAAGTCCCTTTTTCTTATAAGAAAAGGATGGGAAGGGAACGTGGATTTGACGGTGGAGGAGACGCATAGGAAGGGGAAATATCCTGTATATGTGCGTCTGCTCCTCCGTCAATTAGGATATGTAACGCATCCGCTATTGCGAGTGATTGAGTGATTCAAGTAGCTTCTTGCTCGTTACATTTTTTTATTTCACACGGACAAAGTCGCGAGCAATAGTTAGTTAAACATATTCTCGTCTCTCTTCGTATTGAATGTAGTTTTTCGTGAATCAAATACATACAAAAATACAAATCTTTTCTTTTTATAATTTTAATACAGATTTAAGTATTTTTTTAGATCAATGGTTGAATATTGAGAGGCAATATTTTTTTCTGGTTATCTTATAAAAAGTAGAAACGTTTAAAAAAAGAAAAAAATACATGCATATTCCCTATTATGGTACTTAGTGTTTTAAATTATTATAAACTGTTATTTAAGATTTACAAATTTATTAACAACTTTTTAATTTCGAGTTTAAATAATAATTTACCTTTTAGTTCAGCAAGTGAGCCGTCAAAATTGAAAACAGCGTATCTCTTCTTTAGTTTTTTGCCCTCCTCTTTAGAGGCGGGCAGAACCATGGCGAGGTAGGGTCCGTCCACTTCAAAGAATATGGAATTCTCAGCACGTTGTTCGTAAATTTTTGCCTCCGCGTCTTTTAATTCAAAGTATTGATCATTCGTGAAATGGTCCTAAAAAAATATATCTTATACAAAAATGTTTAAAACTGCGTAATTATCTTTACAAAAATTTGTAATACTAGCTTTCGCCCGGGATTCCGTTTGCGTGGAATTAAAACAAAAGTAACTAGACTGTGTATTCTTCCAGACTAACCTCTACTTTTATGTCAAATTTCATCGAGGTCTGTTTAGCAACTTTAGCACTTATAATATTAGCAAGTTTTCGTCAGTGGAAACTAACGCTTATTTACCTTAACCATAGCATTAAGTACCGCATTAGGATAGGATACGTTGATTTTCTTCTTCTTCTCGTGTGTGGTCGTTATTGTGACGTTCTCTGGAAACGAGGCCGGCAGCACACACCATATACCTGTACCAAATATTGCACTTATAGTGTATAACTAGCTGTTCCAGTTTGACTTCATCCCCATGAAATTAGGTAAGTTTTATTTATTTTTTGATTCTTGGGGGTTTGCATAGATGTGCATTTGTTAATTTTTAAGCCTTCTGCTGTAGTGTGTTTTTTTATATTTAAATTACTAGCTGTTCCCGGGCATCATCCGCATGAAATTATAAAAATTTTATTTTATTGTTTACATTTGTCAAATGACAATGACTTGCTTTCTTGATGTTGGCAGCAACTTACGGCCTCTTTTCCACATTAGGGCTTTTATTCAAAATATTAAGACCCTAACTTTAATGGCGTGAAAATATACAGCCTAAAGCATGACGTAAGTGTAGAGCTTTTTATTAAAAAACAACTTACTCAAAAATATGCTGCAATTGCTGACATCTTAGGCAACAAAGAAGTGTGTGTTTACGCTTTATTATAATAGTATAGATTATTATTTTAGTAAAATATGTTTTTAATCTACACGAAACAATATAAAGCGTAAACACGCACTTTGTTATGTAGGATGTCTGCTAATACAGGATATTTAAAAAAAATCTCATAAAAAACCCTAAACGCCACGCTATAGGCTATATATTTTCACATTCATTCATTTACAGTTTGATTAAATTAGCGTAAACTGTCATGTAAGAAAAAGACGAATAAGCCAATAGCAGCAAAGAAAGGTTGCCATGGTAACGGTAATTGTTAGCCAATAAAGTCCTTCATTGTTATTTGCGCATTTGACATTTGTTAATAAATGTTTATAAATGTAAAGAATTAAATAAAGTTTTTATAATTTCAAGCGTATAGATAGGAAATGAATATAAAAGGAAGTTTGAGAGAATCCTGAGTGATAGAGAAGGTAAGGAGTAAAAGGTTAGCAGGGTATGGACATGTTATGAGGAGGGAGAATCGCATATAACAAGGATAACGTTAAGCGAAAATTAATTAAGAACGGCTTAACTCACGCTTTCATACTCCGATGACGTCACCGACTAGTTTCAGACCCTTCGTGAGTTAAGCCGTTCTTAATTAATTTTCGCTTAGAGTAATGTTTCACGATAGTTTAAACAATTTAAAGGATAACGTTATTTATGAGAGAGGTACACCGGTAGAGGTAGACGTAGAAAGAGATGGATGGATTGCGTGAAAGGTGATATCATCAAGAAGGGAGTGATGACTGAGATGACGTATCATAGAGTTATTTGGAGGACAAAAACCTGTTGCGTCCCTACGGGAGTAGGATAAAGAGGAAGATAAGTGTATGAAGTCATAAGGGAACATCTAGCAGTCTATAATATTCTAGTATACCGTCTGTATCCAACTCTAGTGGGCGGCCAATTTGCTCGATGATTTCGCGAGCTCGCATTATAATATTAGCGCCCGTGTAACACACGATGCCCGCCATCTCCATACTGTGCCAGCGAGCTCTGTACAAATCATACTAAAATTATAAATGCGAAAGTTTAGATGGATGGATGTTTGTTAGTTTGTAGCCTAAGTGACAGAACGAATTTCGATGGAAATTGGTATAGATGTAGAAGATAGTCTGGAAGAACATACAGTTTTGTTTTTTTTTATTCCACGCGGGCGGAATCGTGGGCGAAAGCTAGTTTAAACATAAAATGTTACTGTTAAGCCATTAATAATAAAACCAACATTATCTAGCATTCTACTTCTTCCACTGGCTATTTTTCTTTAGCATAAGTAGCAAAAGATCAGAAATTGTATAAAAGAAATGAATTATTTAGGGCCTGTCCCACCACTGGCTGATAGAGGCTCAGATGGCTTAAAAATGATGTCGCTATCAGATAAGGTTACAAAATCCAATATGTCCATCACATATTTTACACGTTGAATCAGACAATTTACAATTTAGTGGGACAGGCCCTTACATTTATAATAAAATATCAGAAGTGCAGCGTAACATTTTGTACACAATTTCACGACTGCACCGTTTACATTTGAATCATTCACTCGCTCAGTCATTCATTCATTCATCCATTCAGTCATTCACTCACCCGCGTCTCATGACGTATCCGTAGAAGGAGTTAAGGATGCATTTGTGTGCGAGCTGCAACGAGTCGTATAACACTTCACGGCTCTTAGCGCTCTTCACATCGGCTGCGTCTCCGCTCTTTATAGCCGCTGTTACCATCGCTTTAGCTTGCTTATTCAACGCTTTGTACTCGTAACGACGGTCCCTTTAAACAAAAATATAAATAAAACATAATATACGTAATCACTGCCAATGTTCAAAACACTTTCTCACGTTAATTTTTTTTTATTCTGTATGTATTTATGTATAATGTATGTATTTATGTATATATCTTTTCTAGTATATCATTATTGTATGTTTATATAGTACATGCTGTTGCTCTCGACTTCGTCTGAGTGAAATTAAAAATATAATAAAAATAATAAAAAAAAACATAGTCTAAGTTACTGATAACGTAGCTTAGTTATTAAGTAGTTTTTGAGTTATTTCAATACATACAGAAATACAAATCTTTCCTTATAATATTAGTATAGATATCATTTTACGTTTGTGCACTCTCTTGTTACTCGCAAAACATCCTCCCTGTACTACAACTTTTCGAATTTTCTTTTGTGTACTAAGTTTAAATAAATAAGTATAGAAAAATATTAAATTATAATATGGGAATCGAACCTAAATGCTCGTACTGTGTCGACGTAAAACGAATTCTCCTTCTGACAGACTGTCGTAGTTCTGACTTCGGTTCGTGTAACTTTTGTTTTCTTGTATGCCACTTTACAGTAATCTGCCAAACGCTTCTTTTCGTATGCAGCCTTAAATAAATAAAAAAAAATCGGTAAACACAATAGAATTATATAATCATTTCTCGAACTTTCTTTGAGAGAATCTAGAAATGAAATACCTTAAAAATATCTTTAAACTAGCTGTACCCATGCGACTTAATCCGCATAAAATTATAAAAAATAATTTTACTGTTCACATTTGTCAAGTTATCAATTGCAAATGTCAAAATAACATGACATGATGGCAACCTTGCTTCGTCGATGTTGGCAGCAACTTATGGTCTCTTTCCCACATTTGGGTTTTTATCCAAAATATTTACCCCCTAAGTTTAATGTCGTCAAAATATATAGCTTAAAGCGTGACGTAAGTGTAGGGCTTTTTATTAAAAAAAGAATTATACAAAAACATGCTGTAATTGCTGACATCTTAGGCAACAAAGAAGTGTGTGTTTACGCTTTATTATAATAGTATAGAAGTATAGATAGTATAGATGACAATATAAAGGATTTACCTGGTCTTCTTTAGGCAGCACGTGGAAGGCTCTCGGGGGACCTCCGGGATGTAAAGGAGGAAACTTTTCCGTCTCTAATTGCTGTTGGATACGTTGGTATTCACTTCTTGATGCTGGCACTGAAAATAGCCTCAAATTATGTGATAAATTAAAAAAAAATTAAAAACGTATTAATTCTATAAAAGAATTATGAAAAATAAAATAGTAAATAGAGATAGTGAGAGAGATAAAGGAGGACGGAGAAATAGGTGAAAGAAAGAGGGAGAGGAGATAAAAAGAAAACAAGGATATATCAAGAGAAGGCGAAGATATGGAAAGGTAAAGAGGGAGGGAGGGATAGGTGAAAAAGAAAGGGGAGGGGAAAGGAGAAAGATAAAAGTAAAAAGGGGGGTGAGAGGGAGGAGAGTCCGGAGAGAGAGAGAGAGAGAGAGATAGAGAGAGAGATACTCACAGTACTCTCCGCGCCACATCCAGTCCATGTGCCGCTGGCAGACGGCGTCAGGGCGATTGTAGTCGCACACCGCGCACACGCTGGAGTTCACCATCGCCGAGGGCTGCAACCTACATCACCTTTATATCTACTTTTCTCTATGAAACTATCATTTTTATATTTATTATCCAATAACAAACTCCCAAAGTTCTTTCATAGACCAGTGTAGTTTATTATGATTATTATTTGCTTCACTCAACATTATAATAACTATCTTTTGTTGTTTACATTGTTATTTTATTGTGTAAATGACAATTGCATTTATTTGTGAGTAACCATGGGAACCTTGTTATTGGCTTGCAGTTTGCTGTCTTTTTAGTCTGATTTTTCCCTAGTTATTTTTATTTGAACATAAATAATTAAATACAACTCAATAGAAGAATTCTTCGACAGTTAGGGCAAACCTTTAGTTGTAACATTTTTTTAATTTCATTATTGAATAGCAATGCACTATGTCCGCGTGAATTAAAAAAAAATAATAGCCTATATTTTCTTCGAGATTATCCTCTATATCTACTCCTTTCATCGAAATCCGTTCAGCAGTTTAGGCAACAAACATCCATCCATCTAAACATTCATAATATTAGTAAGAATAGAAAAATTACCTGTTAGTCAATATAATATTAGGATACATAGCGCCTACATCCAAATGGTATATTAATGGATTTTCATCTCTCCGGGGATGGTCTTTCATATGCTGTAACTTGGCTTTGATTTCCGCACACACCTCATCAAAGTTGGTGACCAGCTCGAGAGGTATACCTTCCTCTACTTCTATCGCATGCCTCATCGTCTTCTCTGTGCTTTCCATCAATTTGTCAACAGCTGATGGTACTATACGGAACTTGCATTTTATATCAGCACGGAATACACCTGAAATACAAGAATAAAATAATTGTTACTCAGAGTTGTTAAGTGGTCACTAAGGGAATCAAGAAAGTCAGCAATGCTCTGGGGGGAATATTTTTTTTAGGAATTAGCTAGATGAAGGAAATAATTATCTCTACGTTATTGAGTTTTTTTTATTTTTTTTTTATTAGCTTTATTTTGTACACATAACCAATATTACAACACAGCGGATAAACATGATTAAACAGAAAAATTAAAAAAAAAATAGTATACGTTATTGAGTTATCTATAGTATAGGATTAAATATATTTAGTATTTCGAAGTAGTTTAAATGTCTGTTTTATTTATTTTTTGATTCTGGGGGGGGGGGGG